ATCTAAATCCATGCAGGAGGTCATTCAGAGAATTTTWAGAACAAGCTCTTAGAGATCATTACTGCTCCTGAAGGGACTTCGTGCCACTTACTAACTGTAARTCAGAGCTATGAATTTGAATCCAGGTAGAGTTTAGACTTAAGCAGTTCCCTTTCTCTTTAGAAATGGTGTTAGACATGATAGGGTTATTCAGGAAGCAATTTATTAGTAAACCTGCTTTATTTTCCTCTTTCTGCAATCACAGATTAACAAATACCACCTGAGAACTGAGCAAGGTTAATCAACTAATTATACTAAATTTTACTGAGTCAAAATTTGAAACTCTCTCTAATCTCAGTGAGAAGCTGATTCTCATTGTATTCTTTGGGGTCAGCAGAAATAAGTCCTACCTAAAAAGTCAGTTGTACCTCATCTCTCAAAATACATTTTCCTTGTTGAGTCTGGTAGGAAGGTTTAATCTGAGTTGTACTTATCCACACCAAGAAAAACTAAGAACTTGTTAGAATGCAGAAAATGTTGGATATTTTGGATGCTGTACTCTTTCACAAAAATTTGCCAGCATAAAAATTTTTATATTCTCTATAAATAGAAATTGCCTAACCACAGCAAATAAAGATAGAAAATKGGACCACATATGTTTCACTAGAAATATTGAAAGTCTAGAGAAAGTGTTGAAAGTAAAGTTATTGGTTAGAAATTAGAATATTGATGTAATAGGCATGTTAGAAACTTAGTGGAAGAAAAGCAATCAATATGAACAGGCATGCTGGTGACAAATTACATGGGAAAAACAGGTAAAGTCATGCCCATCAAATATCAGATTTCTTTTGTCTTGAAGTAAACACAGTCAAATCTCATGCATTAGCTACACCACAAAAGCCAAGAGTCCCTACATATTGAAATGACATGAATAAATAAAAAAAATAGAACCTTAGTATCACAGGAGTGCAGTACAATATTAGGACTGTAGTAAAGATCATCCTTCCTATATAGGGACACTGCCCATGAAAACCTAAATAAGATCAAGCAGGACATGAAGACAGGARATGAAATAGCAGTAGGAGACATGATTTACCAGTTGAGATTGGGTAAATGAACTGTGGGTTGTGATTCTGAGTAAAATTTCATGTTTTTCAAATGATTACCTATACAGAGACTATTGGTTTATCTTGAAAAAAATAAGGAAGTAATTTAAAATGATTCTAAGACCTTAAGACCTGTTCTTTGTTACAGAAAGGTCTGTTTCAAAATACAGTTAGAATCTCTGCATGACAGCACCTAATGTACTTAGATGCAGTACTCTTGAAACAGAAAAAGAGAGGGGAAAATCTCCCATGGCAGTGCTTGACTTCAAAGAGAAAACTACATAAAAAAGAAAGAGAGACAAAATTTAAAATGTTTAAAGGAGTCATGAAGGTTGTTTAAATGTGGGAGCTCACTGCCAGTTTACTTCCAAGAAAGCCTTTAAAAGGCCCAAAAAAAGGTTTGCATAGCTAAACAGCAGGGTGAAGGAGTAAAAGGATTTCTTTTATTAGAAGTAAAAGGGCTTCCTTGAAGTTGAGTTTGTGCCTAAATGAGGAAAATAAAGTGTAAACAAGTTAAATATATAAACAAAAGAAGGCAAGCCAAAAGAGATTTTGAAGAACAACTTGACAGAAATATTAGTAAAGTAGTTTTCAGTCAGTCTTTAAGTGGGTAAAATCTTGACAGAAAATCTACAGGATTAGTAAATGATCAAAGTAAGGAGGGTGTTTAAAGACATGCATTCTGGGCATGTAGTCAAGAACACATCAGAAGATTTGTCATCAATAAAWGCATTATAAGAAGAGATTTTAGAAGAAATTGGCAGCAATGAACAGTAAAAAAATTACCAGGAGAAGATGGTATCCATACAAGTTAAAAGAACTGAAGTACAAAACTTCAGTTCAGTAAAACCAATAATGATGGTGTAATGCTTAAAAGTTTCCTGGTCTGAAAGAGAGAGAGATAAATATGATAGTAACCTGAGAGATTGGTAAGAGCTGCAATCCTCTCTAAGCCCCTTTCCAAATCATTAGATTTATGAGTAAGTGTGATAAAAAGGGGAAGGATCAGCATAGCTTTCATAAAGGAACTCAGAATTTCTAAAATTTCCTTAAAAAAGTAACTGAACATATGGACTAGTGTGTTCCATTTGGTAGAAGCTAGATGGTCTTCCAAAACCCATTTGAGCATGTCCTTCATCAGAGGATCTTAAGAAACTGGCATTATCATCAGATAAAACATTCAGGCCTCTCAGGAATAACTAATTAAAAATTAAGGAACAAGTAGTAAGAGTATATTGTTGATTTTTGTAATGAAGGGAACTCATCATTAAAGAGCCAACAAATCTGTAAAAACCTGTGATGTTCAACTTACTAATATTTGGAAAAATATTGRGAGGAGAGGAGATGCCAGATATGGCAAAATTCACTGATAGTTGTTGGGRCTTGCAGCAATGTTTCATTATACTGATGCACTAACTTGGTCACTAATGAATATAAGATAAAGATTATCAACATTATCTACATAGGGAGTAGATCTGAACTTATGTATGAAGGCATGACTAAGAGTTACAGTGGCTGGTTCTAACAAAAAACCAAGCCCAACCTATGCCCCACTGTGTTCAGCATAGGACAAAAAAGCAAACAATGTTTGAAAACTTTTAAAAATTAAATAGAAAGCAAAACAGCAARCATCACTATTCCACTGCACAAACTACACAAACCTATCATGCATCCAACTCTTGAATTGAATTCTGTTTGCACTTTTGGCCTTTTCTCAGGAAATAGACCTCAAGAAGAATAATCATATTTTGTCTGGAATAGCTTCTAAAAAGGTCATGACTACATAAAGCTGGGCTCTTTACTCTTGGAACATGAGGATAGAGGGAAGGATAAGTAATAGCAGTTGTGGCACATTACTGGTAGCAGATTCAAAAAGAGCAGGAGGAAGGGATTTTATTGTACAATGTGAACTTTACTCTTGTAGGGTGTTACGGATGGCAAAAAGTTATAGAGATTCAAAATGTTATTTCATAAAATTAATGGATTGCAAACCCACTTTTGGCTATTAAAAAGTATGACYTCAGCTTAGGAAGGTCCCAGAGCTGAGCTAAGATCCTGAGGGACCATGAGTACATGCTCTTCCCTCAGCTGCTGCARCTATCTGCTCTTGAGGGACAAACTGCAGGGAGGGGTGAATTCTGATCTCCCCCAGTGCAGCCACTGCATTCACTTTGATGAGATCAGACTCACCACACAGCTCTTACTGCAACTGTCCCTATTCATTCAGATCCAACCTTTGATTTATTTGTAGGTCTGTATTAAAAAAAAAAAAACAACCAAAAAACAAAAACCAAACCACAACCAAAGAGGAGCTTTGTTGGTTAGCATTTTTCAGTCTTGGGGCTCTGATTGATGAGTGGGGAAGGATGTGACCTAGAAGGTCTGGAAATTCATCCCTCAGCCCTGCCCTGCTTTGTGGATGCCTGCTTTGCTTGTGTTTCGTGGCCCAGTCTAACTCACTTTGTAGGCTGGGRTGATGARTGCCCTGTGMAAGATCAGTGCCTGTGCAGCAGAGYCCTTGTTGGCTGGACTTTTTTCATCCAGACAAAGCTGATTTTTATTGTTTTTGTGGGTTCCTTTTAGAAGGGCACTGCCTACATTTTTATTTTGTGTCATCCCTCCTCTTTTGCTTACTGCTGAATRCTTGCTGGGTCCATACTGTATTTCTTCCATTCCTTCTCAAGCCAATACATGACCTCTGAAGTAGATGGCCCTGGGAAATTACTTCACCCATGCTTTCCAACTGTTTTATTTTTGTTTAAAAGAGATTGTAACTGGCCTTGAGGGAGAAGACTCTCCTTTAATAATTGTTTGATTTTCAACATTTTGCTGCTAAATTGACTTATTTTCATTTTAGGGTTTTCTTTATTCCTATTTTTAAAATAGTGCAATGTATTTGGAATACACATGCAAACAYGTAATTCTCAGATGCTGGCATTCTGTTTTTCAGGAAAACCAGCTAATTTTAGTTTTTAAATTGTTGTAGTAAGGAATCCATCAAAAGCATGGTAGCAAATTAGTAACTGTTTTGGGCAGGTTTTATCCCACTGAATATCCAACTTGTTGATATTTTTATTATTCTGGTTTCTTAGTAGAAATCGTAGAAGCATAGAATGGTTTGGGTTCAAAGGGACCTTCAACATCATCTAGCTCCTACCCCTAACAGGTGCCTGTAGCACGTGCCATATACAAAATACTAATGTTGTACATGACTCCTTGTACATGACAGGCTGATCTGAGAGTTGATAACACCTTATGGACTATCCTGTTGTCAGGGGTACAACAAAGACAGAATGCCCATTYTGTGCCCAAGGTGGCAGAGCAGTGAAAATGGAGTTCTCGAGTCCCACTGGAAAATGACTGAAGGCAAAAACTTCCAGTGTGACCTCTGCAGTCAGACYGAACAGGAATGTAGGGACAAGTGCCAAATGTTTCTTTTTAACTCTTTTAACATTGTTTTAAATCTTAACAGAGATTTGCATGGGAGAAAATTTGCCTGAGTGAGACACGCTGAAGAAAGACATTCTACCACTATTATCTACTGCTTATTATTATTATTTTAATACATTAATGGAGCTAGAGTTTAGCTGAAGGACAGGCCCTGCCTTGCTATCACAGAGTTKTGGTGAGATCACAAAGAAGAGCTCAAGTGAGAAATTGTCTTTGGAAGTGTTCAGTGACACGTTTTTGGATACAGAGGATACCACAAGAGAGGGAAAAAAAGAACATTAAGGAAGATCTGGAGATAGAGCACATAATAAAATCACATTTTCTCATATAGTTATACTTTGATATTTCATGTTGTGCTGAAAAGAACTTTGTAATGGACAAAATGTGGACACTGAACTCTCACTATTGAACTCTATGTCATAGCCTAATTATTTCTTTTTTTTTCTCTGTCACTTTTTTGTATAGGTGGAGAATGTTAGGTTACTCGATCGTTTATCTTCAAGAAGAGCTGTGCTGGGAACCTTATATTTAACAGCTACCCATGTCATATTTGTGGAGAATGGTTCTGAAACTCGCAAAGAAACCTGGGTATGAATTTTTGTTTTTTCAGTTAGCTGTAAGTGTGTGGCATTTTACTGATGGTAATTTGAAAATTACTTCCAAAACACTTTGGACAGAGTAAATTACTTCATATGGATGTTTTTATCAGGYCATGTGAAGTTCCAGCCTAGTAATTTTTGAAATTTTTCAGCTGATTCTAGATACTGCAATACAGTAAGAGGAGTAGATGGGCCTTCACTCTCTGAATACCAGATGTGATTGACTGAGGAACAGCTGCTGTAAACCATATTGTTACTCCTATCATGCAGGAAGAGCTGAGGAGAAATTACTTGAATGTGAACTACTTCCTTGGCTCTCAATTCTTGCCACTCTCCCYTACTGCTAGCATTGAATCAGTGATGATGTTGGTTTAATATCTTAATTTTTTTTATAAAGTAGTATTTGGAAGTAACTATTTTGATTGACTGATAACATATGTTGCATTTTGTTGTGGTTTAACCCCAGCCATTGACCAAGCCCCACGCAGCCCCTCACTCACTCCCCCGACCAGCAGAGGTAGGGGGAGAATCTGAAGGGTAAAAGTGAGAAAACTTGTGGGTGGGGATAAAGACAATTTAATAGGGAAACCAAAGCTACACACACAAGCAAAGCAAAACAAGGAATTAATTCACTGCTTCCCATGGGCAGGCAGGTCATCTCCAGAAGATCAGGGCCACATCACAAGTAACAGTGACTTGCGAAGACAAACACAAGACAAACAYGATCAACTCCAATATCCCTCCCCCTTCCTCCTTCCTCCCACTTTATATACTGAGCATGATGCCAAATGGTCTGGAATATCCCTTTGGTCAGTGGGGGTCACCTGTCCCCACTGTGTCTCCTCCCAGCCCCCATACACTCTCAGAATCCATGGCAGTATTGCAGTAGGTCTTGGCTTTGTGTTTCTCAAACTGCCGAAGTTTGAGCAGTAACAAAGCCATCTTTATGATATCAACCCTGTGTTCAGTGCAAATCCAAAACACAGCYCCTTACCAGCCACTGTGAAGGAAATTAACCCTACCCCASCCAAAACCAGCACACACATGCACATAGAGATATAGCTATTGTTCGGTGTCATACATTTGAGATTCTTTTATGCAGCTTAATTATGCTTCCCTTGTCCATTTTTGCATTAATTAACTCCATCTTCCTTTGGTCCCACTATTCCTGACAGGGTTTATTGTAATGTTTCATCTCATTTGATACAGTATTCCAAATTATATCAGCATTACCATTCCACCGATGAGGAGGCACAATATTTTATTCTTATGGAACTGATRCCAGTTCATCTTTTCACTGTGCAAATAGATGGAAAGAGCTTTGACAACCTCTAGCTTACAGTAMAGCAAACAAACAAAAAGATTTGAGCAGTTGAAACAATCCAGAAATACTTCTTTGTCTGCAGGTGATGTATCAAGCTGCTGGACACTGGAATTGGAGTTAGGAACCAAACYACAAGAGGAGGAGCACAGGGTTTTTCTCAGCAGTTGTGGCAGCTACGGTGCCTGTCTGTCTTGGTTTGAAAGACAGGTKTTTGCCAATGAAGGCAGGGACCCCCCTTGGAGTGGTGGATATGACCCCCCTTCCCTCTGAATTATTATAGCTTTGAAAAATCACAGGCTTTCAGGCAAGAATATGGGTAAAAAGGAATAACAGTTTTTACTAATATGTATAACAAGGTGAAACAAGTAACAATAACAATAGCAACAACCAGCGCAATCCCAAACCCAGTGATAGCCTCACAGAGACACACCCTCCCCTTTGGTGCAGTTACAGTCCCAGCCGGCAGGGGCGCTGTTGGCTCCCGGCCGGGCAGGGCGGGTGCGATGATTCCCCGGCGGCTGCAGGGGGCGCTGTGGCGCGGGTCCCGGCTGGCTCAGATCTCCCGCGTCAACAATGGTGGACACAAAATGGTAGAGGTGGATGGAGAAAAAGTTCCTCTGCAAAACTCACAGTGGAAACGCCGATCTCGGTGCTCCTCTGGACAGCAAGAAACCCAGGACGGCAAAGAGACGAGCAGCATCCCGTGGCTGTGAGACGGGATGAAAGCAAGACCCAACCCRTGAAGGTGGAATCGCAAGGGTTCCTGGCAAGGCACAGGGGAGAAGATCACAGTGCAGCAAACAGGAACCCAATGAGCAGAGATGCTGRACTCYGCAGGAAAGGGCAGGCCAGCTCTCCCCGGAGCAGCCAGTGGGTAGACCTCATTCTCCCAGCCAAGCAGGAGGGAAGGTCACGAAGGAAGTGAAGTTACCCCCCACCACACAAACACACGTCTCTCCCAGGGCTTAGCAAAATCTTTTACGTGGGGCATAGGTCCCATTGGTCTTTACTAATAGTCCTATTAGTCTTCACTAATCCCATTAGTCTTCACTAATCGCCCACCTATCAAAAGGATGACCTGGCAATCAGTGTATCCCAGCAACAAAATGGGAAAGAAAAATTACCCAAGARAGGAAACAAAAGGAGAAATCTTAACCCACAACACTGCCATGGCACATCATTATGAATAATTACTTTTCTTCTTAAAGATTTGATTAGCATAACTGTTTTCAATTTCCTGCAGGTTCTCCACAGCCAAATTTCCTCTATTGAGAAGCAGGCCACCACTGCCTCTGGTTGCCCATTACTGATCCGCTGTAAGAACTTTCAGGTCATCCAGCTGGTCATCCCTCAGGAACGAGACTGCCATGACGTTTACATATCTCTGATACGTCTGGCTCGACCAGGTATGCAAAAGAAAACCCGCACAAAAATCAATCCTCATCCTGAAGAGTGATAATTCAATGGAAGAAATGTATCTGCATCTTTGCCCTTTGCAGTAAAAAAAAAAAAAAGGGTTCATTAGAGATGTCTTACGAGAGAAATGTTAAAATAATCATTTGTGGAGCAATGAGGAAAGCTCATTATAACAAGTAGTTCATTTCATAAACTGTGAGATGAGCTTGAGTTTAAAATAATACTCTAGGATATCAAGGGCCATAAAATATAATGCTCTTTTATGTGCAACTCATTTGCTGGCTGCCTTGTGTAAATATAAATTTAGGAGAGTACTCTAAATTCWGGGAACTTTCATGTCCCTCTTGTGACAAAAACGTTACAATATATTTAGTGGTCATGTCAAGATTTGCATTTAGACTTTGTGCTAAAAATTCCTTAAAATCAGTGGAATCTTTATTCCATTGGGCTGCCTGTGTTTTGGCCTATTATTATCTACATTTTGAATATGTGCCGTGTGAATTTCTGAATTCAGTTCACGATCCTTTTGAAACATTTCACCTTTTCAATGAAAAACCAAATATTGTGTCAAAGCCCAACATCTGATTGCCTGCATTATAACTCCTCTCTGCACTGTGCTGCCCTAAGAGCAAACTGACATAGCTTCTGGATTGTTTATTTTAAACTATAACTCTAGAAATATAACACCATCTTTTGCTCTTTGCTAATCTTTTAATAATATGCAAAGAAATTGTCTGCTGTAGTCTTTACAAAGCTGACAACACTGGTTTTAATTGTTTCTTGTTACGAGAGCACTAATTTTATCAACTGTGTAGAGGGGAAAAAAATTGCACACCAGTATAACTACTGAACTTTATAAAGTKCTAGTAGTAGTAGCAGCAGTACTGTATCAGTGTAGCAGAAGTAATTTGGTAAGCTGAGTGATACAGGAAAGTAATCAGGGAAATTTAAAACAGTGAGACAAATTCAGTCAGTGGCTCAGCTGATGTAAATTCATTCCATGAACCTCATCTGCGAGTACCTGTTCATGCATGCTGGAAGGAATATGATTCTGTATTCCATTTTTTATCTTGGAGGCAGGAGCAGGTGTGTCTGCTGCTGTGCACTAGAATGATGAAAGGAAGAGTAGCTGAGGACCCTGAATACAACTTTAGTGACTGAGTGCAATGGACAAGAAGATTTAAGAGAAGAAGATGCAGTTACAACACTGTAGAATTAGCTCTTTACAAGGTTTAGCTGCGCAGTAGTTTTCCTTCTCCAGCTAGCTGTCTGCTTGCGATGTGAGACAGGATAAAATCCTGCCTACTTACTCAAAATTAGAAAACTCTGATTCAAGCTGAGTCATATGTACTCTGACAGTGTTCTGCTGTCTCATTTTGTCAATGTATCTTTCTTTAGGTCATAGAGTTGCTCAGCTTTAGAAGGTACACTTTACTCCATGAGCAGATAATTTAACTCATTCAGGCTCAGCTTTCCATTCTCTGCCTATTCTTTTCAGTCATTTCTGAGTGAAGTTCATGAAGTTCATGTTGTCTACTGGCTTAACATGTTCTATGCTATCTGATGTCCTGGTTACATTAAAGGTGAATGTTATGCTTGATTTTAATTTTGCTAGAATTTTAATTAGGTCAAGCTGTCATCTGAATTTGGTCTTTTTGCTTAATTAAGCCATTTTGTGAAACAAGCTGCRCATAAGATATTACATGTTTAATAGCAGAACTGCAGATGTTTATGGCARAATAACTGTGAAAGATTGGGAAAGGTCCTATAAGTACTGGCAAAGATGTGGTAACTCAGCTTTAAGGCACTGACTACTAATACTCGAACACTTATTGCCACCTACAGATACCATCATATGATAGTATTTATGATGTTGGGGCAGACTTCTGTCTTAAATAACCTGGATACATAGATGAATTTTTAAAACCTTTCCTTGTGCCTGTGAACAGCAGGTCCATTGGAAAGAAAATCCAGAGGCTTCTGGCAACCAAGTAGTGAAAACAGGAGCTCAGATTGCTACCAAACATTCAGGTTGGATTTATGGATTGTGCTAAAACTTTACTGTTAACAGATGAGAAATGAGCCAGACTGTCTTCCTAATCTGTGCCATGCCAGAAGTTTGAAATTAGAGAATACAGAAGGGGTTTAAACTGCTGGAAAGTGTGCAAATCATACTTTTTTTTTTCTCCCTAGTCAAGACTTCGTGGATTTTCAGTATGTTCCTGACAGAATTAACATGAAGTTTTCTTTCTGTTCATACTTTTGTGTGTGCTGCATACAATCAATTTAATGACATTTAAAAAGGCAAAACGTAACTTACATAAGACCTTTAGAAGCCAATCAAAGAGCTTTCTGTAATATGGGAGAAGGGCAGTGTGTTTGTTATTTTCGTAGCTGTGAGTTCTGTATTCTGTACTGTACAGAACACAGTCATGTACTAAGGTCCTGCTTATTAAGTATGTGTTACTAGAAGAGAAAGCATAGTGTTTAMATTTACTGATTGTAGAGCAAGTGTATCAGTGGAGACCGATGAAATCAGAGAGGACTCAATTTGTGATTTACTGCAGTTCTAAAGTTAAAGATCTATTGRTCAGAAAGTTTTAAGGACCTTTGAGCAACAGAATGACATATGCCCTTGGGACACAGCAATAGCTAAAGTATCAGTGAGAATATTAATGTTAAGTTGTATGCTGGATTGTCACTCATGTCAGTAACAGCTGGGATTCAATGGCAGTGGTGTGTGGCTGCCACTGGTCACCATGACTAAGACACTCATTAAATACAGATATACTTCTAAAAAGGTTAAAAACTCCATCACTGCCAAACTTTCTGGTACATGGTTGAGGAGCATAGCATTGAAACAACTTCCTGGTCATGATAAAAGGATTGATGAAGCATATGCTTCTTTTGTGCACCTCAAATGCATTTGCTAATAATGCAAGGACAGAATTTCACAGTCAACAAAATTAGGATTTCATTGGATCTGTTGGAAAACTTCCTAATAAGGGACAAAGACTACTGAGCTTTTTTCATTTTTAGAAGAATGTGCTGCATGGTCCTTTGTTCATATCTTTTGTCTTTGCCACAGGACAGATTTTACTTTAATAGAGAGACATCTAAACTACGTCTAGATAACAAGTTCTTTCGAAGAGCAAGTGCTTACTCTGGCACTGACTTCAGTTTTCTTTGGATGAAAGCATATCACTGACATTTTGTCTTCATGCTGGAGAAGGTTTTTACAAATCTTAAGACTAGCAGAACAGAATATTTTAAGTAGCACTTCTATTAAGTCACATATATTGCAACAYATACAAATAGCAAAAGAGCACGTACTTTCAAAGTTTGCTTGATAGTAGATATAAACCAGGATATGAACTTTTGTAAAGCAAAGGATACTGTTTTATAAGAAACTGCATCAAGGTCAACACCAAGTTCTGGTTTTGAAATCTGATTTCAGGATGAGAAATCTGAAATTCTTTGCTGTTTCTGTTTCTTTGCTTATTTTTTTCCCCAGTGAAATATGAAGAGCTGTATTGCTTCTCCTTCAATCCAAAATTAGATAAAGAGGAACGAGAACAAGGCTGGAAGCTTGTGGACCTCAATGAAGAATATAATCGGATGGGTGTTCCAAACAACTATTGGCAGATTAGTGATGTGAACAGAGACTATGGAGTGAGTTGTTGTGATTTTTCTGTTACAAAGGCTGTCAGTAGAATAAATCAGCAGCCTGAATGAGGACTGCTGTGGCATCATCTCTTTGTGCTCAGCACTGTGTACAAACGTAATTAGGTGCAGTTCCTCTACTATTTCACATAAAATGTCACACAGACAGTGAGAGAAAGGATGTGTCTTCATTTAACAAATGTGCAAATGAAGCACAGAAAATATGTCCACAGTGTTTTAAATGTTAGGGTTCAACTGCCTGGGAAGAAGCTTAAGTCATACATAATGTTATGTGTGTGAATAAGAGTTTCCCTGACATGTAGGGCTATGTAAAATTACTACTTAGTCATCTAAGAAAAAAATTACACTAAATAGTGAGCTTGGCAATATTTTTTCCTCACTGGTATTCTCAGAGGCATCTGTGAYTGCCAGTGTTTTTCACAGCCATCTTATAAGTCATATATCTTCCTAGCTGCTTGCTGTCCTGCCTGGTTCACTCTTGTACAATTGAAGACACTAGAATGTTAATTAATTTTGAGAAAAAATAACTCAAGTATTTTTGAAGAAAGCTTGTCCAAGCTTGTGGCTGGAACATATCCAGATTAAGGAAGGACTATGAAGTTCTCAGAGAAGACTGAATGTGCTGTCARGGTTTGTTTTCTTTTTGTTAAAATGAGTGGAAAAAAATGTTTGAACTTTTTTAAGATAAAGTGTAGGAAAAATGTCATCATGGATAAAATCCAGTTCACCACAGCAAAAATGGTAACCACAAGCCTTTCCTTTCTCGTTCATTACACATCTCTGACTCTCTGAAAATAATTTCATCCTTAGTGCTTTAGTCATCTCAGGAGGTCAGAGGGAGGTACTAGATATCCTTTTGACCCCAGGCAAAATGCTACAGGCAGTATCAGAAAACGGGAGTTGAAACAGGATTCCATCCATGGTCTAACTTRTCTCTAGAGGGAATTTGGGGTGTTTTTGAAGGCTCATAGGATTCCTCTCAGAAGTGGTAGGCATCATCAGGACTGCTTGCCTTTTGGTAACCTCATTTAATCTGGCATAATTTCTTATCTCGAGGTCCCTCTTTTTGTCCTTTTTTTTATTAGCAAGTTTTCTGGAAAAATTGCTCTRTGTCCCCCTCCCATTATAGCAGAATGTTTGAGAACTTCACTTCCTCTCATCCTTACTCCCAAATTCTGCTACAGAGGACAMTACACTTGTAAATACAACTTGGTAGAAGTAATGATAAATCTTTTCTGCTATGAATGTGTGTTAAACCTGTCTGTTCTCAACGAGGCATGAATTAATGTTTGGAAATACAGCCCTTCATCCCTTTTGCGTCAGTTTTGCCACCTGTAAGTTAGGATTAATACGTTCCAGCTTCAAAAGAATRCTTTGAGCAATGTCACCCATACAATAATGAGGGAATATTCCCTKAGGTTTGAGTTCCTTGGTATTTTGGTTTTGCTGTGGAAATGGCTAATGCTATTTGTACATTGTAGACCAAACAAACAGAGTTTCCTTTCTCAGGTCTGTGATTCCTATCCTAYGGAAGTCTATGTACCAAAGTCTGCAACTGCACACATCATAGTGGGGAGTTCTAAATTTCGGAGCCGAAGGCGTTTCCCAGCTCTTTCCTACTACTGCAAGAGTAACAATGTAAGTGTGAATTTGTAGCCTTGAAGTATTTGTTTATTTTGGCCTTAGTCCCATAATTCTTCTAGAAAGGTTTTGCAAGAAGAAATCGGTCTTCATTTAATTTTTTAAAATGATTGGTGTAGTCTGGTTAGTGTGGATAGTTCATTAACAGGCATTAATAGACATTTAATGCCGACATTTAAACCCAGCTTCATCATCCAGCTAACACAAAAAATACATGACCTCTGCATCACAAGGCAGTGGAGTAGTACAAGGGGCCCTGAGACGTGGGTGTCAGGGGAATGAAGGCCAGTAGCAGGCAGCTTAGTAGGTGATTGGGCAGGGAATGGGCAATTTTGGATCTGGTAGCTGCAGCTTGGGAGAAAGTTGAAGAGGTGAAGAACTGTACTTGCATCACTTAGTGAATCAGGAGTAGCTTTTCAAGATAAGATCTGTGAAGAGACACAGAAAGGAAGGATAAAAGAGCTACCAAATGCTGGCTGAGCAGTATGTTGTGGGTTTGTTGAAGACACTCTCCTTGTCTGCAAGAGTGAGGAATTTCACCTTCCCCTCTCCATAGCAGTTATTCTCAGGGCTGAGCAAGGAACTGCTCCACTTTTCTGTAACCATTTGGAAAAAAACCCGTACCTAGACTGTTTGCAGTTCTGTTTCTGGCAGGTGAGGTGACCACAGTTGGGGTCAAAACAGAAGACCCAACACCCTTGGAGTGAAGGATTCTACAAACTGGGTGTGTTTACATTTGTGTTCCAGCCCCTTAGGGCCCAGCTTAGTTCAGCTGTCATTACCAGTTAGGAGAATGGTGTCCCCTTTGCACTCTCAAAGGACCTGTGTGAATCCTACTTCAGTCCAGGGTGGCTTTGAGAGACCTTCCATATTGCTGGGGGATGGTCAGGACTTCCCAAGAGACAGAGCAAGTCTGGGATTACAGGGCATCTCTAGCATTTGCCACACAGGATGGGAGATATTTTTGCAGATTGTCACAAGCAGGAATCATAAGCTAAAATCTCCATGGAAAATTTTGCCTTTACAACAGCCCTTATCATAGATTTAAGCTTCAGAAGGAAGGAATGAGACATAATTTTCACTTCTTTACCCTGCATTTCATGAGACCATGGCTCCATAAAGATATATGAATTTTACAATGAAGGTGGGGAATAGGAGGATTTAAATAGTAAACACAATCTCTGCATAAATCACATATTTTTTGTAACACTTTGTTAAGGTCAATTTTTTCAGAGGTCAGTTGAGTTTGGAGGAGTTTCATGGTTTCAGCCTGAAGGTTTTCTGTGTTGTGGCTGGAGTTCAGGTTAAGGTTCAAAATACTAGGATCTGAAGTATTGTTTTTACTCCTGGATCCTTCATGGTTCAAAGAGCTAGGAAAAGTAGTGTTGGAGGAAATACCTCCTTGTGAGTTTGGTGGTTGCTATGAGTTGCCAGCAAATCGAGTGGGGTTGTATTGTTTTAATATTTCCTTGCCTTTTTAAAAATGATGTATTTATTAACATGTCATTGATTTTAGCATTCTGCTCTTCTCATTTCATTGTACATATATGCAAACATCTAATGATCTGGTTTTGTGAATGCTTCTGGATGCTGAATAATTTATAATTATGTTTGTTTGTTTGTTTGTCTGCTTGTCTGCAGGCCTCCATATGCAGAAGCAGCCAGCCTCTGTCTGGGTTTAGTGCTCGATGCCTTGAGGATGAACAGATGCTCCAGGCCATTAGAAAAGCAAATCCAGGAAGTGATTTCATATATGTTGTTGACACTCGGCCCAAAGTAAGTACAATAAATTTCTTGCCCACAGCAAGACTGAGTCTGGGCTGAAAACATTAGGGAAGATACACAACCTAAGTGACTGACCAAGTGACTTCTGATCTTAGTTGCACGTGTGTAACTCCCCAGGTACAAGGGAATATTAACTAGGAACCTTTACCACATTATTTTCTTCAGGACAACTTTCTCCTTTACACTGAACCTTTCCGTCTTCTTTTGCTTAGCAAAATGTTGAGATACAGAAGAGTAAATAATGTGTAATTGTAACTGTTTGCATACACAAAGGACCTATCAAATAAGTATATTTCTGATGAGACTGGCAAAAAATAATTCCCATTATAAAATGTATTTACAGTTGTTTATAATGTTGCAAACCTCTGTCTGCTTGTATTATAATTTTCCATGCATGATTTCTCCTGGAAATGAAAAGATTTCAATGGCTTCTGCACAAGGCCAAGAAAAGACCAGTTATTGAAGTCACAAGAATGGAGGAGATCTTTGAATATCTCCAGCACTTTTGTGGTTTTGAGAGACAATCTGAAATATGATAAGTAGTGATCTCAGATGCATTATGTCTATAACTGATTAAAAACCTCTGGCCAAGATAAAAGCTTTATAAAAAAATATGCTATGCAGAAATACAGAAACTCAATAATTACCTAGAAGAGGCTGGAAGCTGAAAAAATCTATTGTGTCCAAATTGTTGTGCTAGCAAAAARCTCAAGGTGATAAAGACTAGATAGATTTCAGTATCTGGAGATGGGTGTAGCAATATGTTCTTTCTCACACTATCAGCAATTTTCCTCTAGGAGTTACCAAATTCTCTGAAGAAAAGGAACAAAAGAGGCAAATCTCCCCAAAATCCCTTGTAGGTATARGATTAGCTATAGCATGGGAAAAGGAAAAAATGAGAATAAATGTTTGAAGAAAAGGAGCAAGCAAGCTGTTTCAGTATCCTGAGATTAGAAGACAGAGCCTGAAAGGGCAAGGTGGGTAAAGCTGAGAAACATGAGAAATGGAGTGAGGAAGGGCAAACCTGGTAGAGCTGGAGCAGATACAAGGGACCTACATGGCTGGTGTGTGACTGAAGCCATGGGTGTCGGTGGGAAGTTGCTGTGAGTKCTCACAGCTCTAACGGGAGGCCAGAAAATCAGGGCCTTGGCATGTCTCATTGACCTCAGTCACACCAAGGACTAGATAATCTGGTAACCACTTTARCCTTCAGTTCCCTCTCTTATTGGAAAATGAGAATGCTGCCACTTTGCTTGTGGCCCCGAAGCAAGGGAATTGTGGTTAGCACTAGGAAAGGATTGGCACTATCATGTTCAGAATGGGCATTAGATATGAAGTACAGACCTAGCTGCCTAAAAAATGCTTGTTTAACAGGTTTCTGTATGTAATAATAGTTACAGCTTGTTTCCTGTCTGATGGTATTGGGGCAGTCTTTGACTGGTGTGATTTATTGCTAATTACTTACTGACTTGGTTATTAATAATAATTGACTAGGTATTAACCGGAAGGACCTATCCTTTAAATTTTTCCAGTAAATTATTATGAGACACCTTCTGTGTGCAGTGAAAAAAGCTCGTACTTGGTGGAGGATGTGGAAAGACTGAAATTGGCTCACCTAGCCATGAATGCCAGCATATTTCCAGCAAAGCTGGCTTCTTCAGGAGCCAGCCAGGAGATGAAGACTGTTTTCATTGAACTTCTCTGTAAAAACATGTTTTGATCTAAATAAATTTGTGTACCAGATTCCTACTTCTCTCTGCACTGCAAAAATGGACTGATCTACAAAGCACCTGTGATCCCAGATCCAGCCAAATCTAGCCTTGTTACAGTTTTTCACCTGGCTGATAATTCATTTAGAGCATATAGCAAGGKATAGTATTAGTGGAAACAGTCCCTGGCATTCCTCAGGGAACCTTTAGTAAAAGCAAAGATAAGATACCAAGACTGGTGGAAGGCTTCCCATTCCCACAGGAGGCTAAAAATCTACATGCCTCATTTCTCATAAGAACCATTTACTTGTAAAGATAATGAATATTGGTGGGGTCTTCAATTCAACATTTCCAAGTGCTCTTCCCTCACTGCACTTGATAATTTTCAAAACAAAACATTTTTCTGTGGAAGAACAAATGTTTCCACTTCATTTGGATATATCAGGAAGACCAAATGCAACTTTACGTAGGCCACAGCCATTCCTTTATGTGATCACAGAAGAAACTAATGTAAACTTACTGTTTATGAGTAAAACACATTAGTTCAAYAATCTTTATAACAAGACAGGACTCGGTCATCCTCCAGATTAAAGAAAACACCAGGAAATCTTGCAAGTGAGGTATATGACCTTTAGAAATTGTATCCTCGTATTCACTGAGATTAAACAAGGCTGTGCAGTTTGGAGAGCTTCACAGTAACTACCTTAAGAGCAACAGATGGAATTTTGGTAGATGATGTGGAAAACTTGTTAGTAAATATTGTGGCAGCTGCAAAGTTTAGCAAGTGACAGTATATAAAATAAATGAGTGTCAGAAAGCCTTGCAGATTTAACCTTATATTTATTTACTTTTAAAGACAGCTATTTCATGTTGTCTTTTAAAAAGGATATTTGTGAAAAAATTGCTCTGCTGCAGAAACAGTTAATGGTATTTATGTGCTGAGTACTTGGTTACTTAGAGGATGGATAGCTTTTCATTTAGGGTTTCAGGGATTTGTGGTGGCTGAGACTCATGTGAACCAATGTTTCTTCCTAAAGCTATAGGCTGCTRAAAGAGAGACTGCCTCATTTTATTTATACAAGAACACAAATGTCAACTTCAAAAGAGAAAGATTAGGATTCAGCAGATAATTTATATCTTTGTARCAAGTCACACAGAGGACTCTGTCCTTAACTGACATGCTGTTCACAGGCTGTGTCCCTTTTTTATTGTTCACTGATAGTCAAAATATCAGCAGACTGCTGGTTGATAGACAAGAATGTTTGGTTTTTTTGCTTGTGCTCTTTCCTGAACTGTATACTAAAAGTTAAAAGAAATTTTGCCCAAGATTTCAATAAATCTAAAATGCTGGTGTTTTGCCCAGGTTYCTATCCAGAGTGTGGTTCCTTCTGTTGTATCAAGAAATTCATGCAATGTTTCAGTTCCTAATGGTTGCTCACAAATGTAACCTTTTAGCCTTCCCTTGAACATTAAGATATCAAGTTAAGTTCTTGGAAACCTATTTTGACATATAACATAAAAAAAAATAGACTTATTCATCTTGGTTGGAGGGAAGTTGGCAACACACAATCAGTCCCCAGTTGTGTGCATTGGCTCCAAATGAAAGTTGAATATTGGGAATATGTGTGTTTGGGGTGAAAGAGGTCAGAAAAGGAGACATTCTTGTACATCCCATGATGCCATTAGCCAAGTACTAAAATACATTATTTGAGTTTCAGATGTGACCGCAGAAGCAGTGAATCAATAGTGCCTGCACTATTGGGAAATAAACTGGAAACAGTTATCTGCATAGCCTCTTGTCCTCTAAGCAATGCCTAAGAGATACTCTTTTAACTTTTTCATGAACATTGGCTCTTACTGGAATGAAGATGTCCAGGTGATGACTCATAAAGTCTATATCATTTATTACTTATTTATTAAATCTTTCCTGAGCAGAAGGTGTTAGTTGTGCTCAGAGGTGTGGAGATTCTGCCACTTGGGCTGCTTTGTCACCCTCAGAGCTTTCGTATTTTTTGGGAAGTGTAAAGGTCCCTCAGCCTTACATTTCACAGAAAAGCAGGGACTTCATGCAAAAATACAATTTCTTTCTATTGCACAGTGGGATTTTGCTATCAGATTTTTTTTTAAAAGTAGGTAGGTTAATAAAGTAATAGTAGTAATTAAGTAAAATAGTAATAAAGTAAAAGTAATTAATTCATTTTTATCAACTCTTGTTTTAATGCTAAAGATCAAAATTTGGCATAAGGAGCTTGGCAGATAGTTTTCCTTCCCTCCCAAGGATTCCAAAAGGTGGGGGGATATAAGCATTAAAACCAGCCTTAATTTTATGCTTGGGAAAACTGAACTAAAGAAGTATTTAGTAACTTTCCCATGCCAGGAAGTAACAGATTTGAAGACAAAACTTCAACTTCCAGCTGCAAGTATTTTTGCTGAAGCATGACAACTCATTTGATAGCACCATACTGCAGAGGAAAGTATTTGTAGTAATGTTGTCAATTCGAATATTTTGTGGTCTTTCACAGCCAGAGCCAAGATACTATAAAATTAGGAAAAACTACTCCAACTCCCTCTTCGTTATTCCAAACTTCAAAGAAGTAAGCTGTATCAGCTTTTGGGTTATTTGAGCAGTAAAAACAGTAATCAGTAACATTATAGTGAGCACATCCTGCAAAACAGTGGCGTGGCGGATGAGACACTGCCACCTCCTGGGTACGTTCTGCTAGTAAACATAAAGCTGATACAATATAAAATCAGAACAACCTTTTAAAACCAAATTAAAACCTTTATGTTCTTGCAGAGAAACCCTAAGCTGTGGGGGTTTTGTATTTAACCTTGCTAATGATGTTTCACTCTAAGTGTGTGCAATAGGGGTATCAGGGGACTCAGCAACCCAGCACCTACAATAGGCTATAAACAGATCCCCAATTCATAACCCCTTATGTTGACACTGTGACAAATGCTTCCTATTTGTATCTGACTGAAACCCCTCTGATTCATTGCTGTAGACCACAAGGTTTGCTTTGAAAAGATTCTGCTACTGGTTTTCATTCAGTTTTCCCTGTTTTTCAGCTCAATGCAATGGCAAATAGAGCAGCAGGAAAGGGATATGAAAATGAAGACAACTACTCCAACATCAAGTTTCAGTTCATAGGCATTGAGAACATCCATGTAATGAGAAATAGTCTGCAGAAAATGCTTGAAGGTAATACTCCTCCTCATTGGAAACTAGGGGAAAGAATTGATCCTTCTGTCTAACAAATCAGAATAACTGCTCTGAAATCAGCAGCAGGAAAAAGAGTATGAGAAGTAATCTTTGCTTGTTGCAGCTGTTGTTGGTGATTTCTCAGTTGTGATGACACCTTGTATCCTGGCTGAAATCCAGATACAATTTACTTTAATGATAGAATTAATTTTACTTCAGTGCACCTTACTGCTACCATGTCTTTTTTTGAAACTTACATTTTGATGAAAAACTGAAAAAAATCCCTTATAGCTGATTTCACGGCTAGTGGAAAATACAGATTGATACTTTTTTTTAAAGCTCAGAAAAACAATGGTTTGATTTTCATATGTGTATAAGGTCATGCATTTTAGACTGTGAATTTTAATAGAAACTTATCCTTGCCCTGTATAGAACATACAGGTCTATGGAATGTGAAGTCTATTAATGAAATTCACAGTCAATGGGTGTATCCATTCATCACCTTCAATATCCCATGGAAATGAATAACAATTGCTTATAAATACTTAAGAGTATATAAAAAGGCAAATACATCCCACCATTTCATATTTACAGTACATAACTCTTTAGAAGCCATCTGGGAAAAGAGCAAGGATAAATAGGCCATCCTTGACCTTGGACAACTTGCCCATCTTTAACATTGGTAAAGTAATTTAGTAAGTGGTGCTCACTCCACTGTGTCTCAGTATTTCYTTCATGTACATCAAGAATAACTTCMATCACCTCCTGGATCCACTTATCTATCTTAGTCTTGATTTCATGCTCTGCTCAAGCTCTTTTATTCTTTATCTGTCTCCCATKGAGTGCATGCAAATGGGAATTTGAGATCTAAGAAGGGCTCAAATTTTCCATGACAGGGAAGCTGTGCTCTATTTTCAAATAAGTATTTTATGGAAACCAGCATTAAAGTGTGATGCAGGTAAAACTTCTTTCTCTTCATGGGAGTTTTCTTGGTCTAAGGGTCTCAGGTAGGAAAACAAAGATTTTTAGTTCACTAGGAAGTCTTGTTTGGCTAGGAGAGAGGCTGGGTGAGTAAACAGGTCTCTTTATTTATTCAGCTGAAGACTATCATAGTTAAAATAGTAAACAACCAGCCTGGCTGCATGGGCAGTGCTGTGAACAATTTCTGAGCCAAAAGCTCATGAGACCAGCCCATGGGCCAGACTTGCATGTATCAAGGTAGTTTCTAATGTATTTAATAATTCAGCCTGCTTGGGGGGCGGGCACAAGTTCTTAGCATCTATTTTCAAATGAGCCATATGGTTTAAACTTCTGCTTTGTTCCCAGGGTTTTATATTTGCTATGTTGAAATCTTACATGTAGCAATTTGACTGATAAGATTAGAAATCAGGGAAGTTGAGCACTTTTTAGAAGAAAAATCTTATGACTTTCAGTGTACCAGGTCTTTCCTGATGTAAGGTGCTGTGTAGTTTTTTCATTTGCATGTGTTTGCCTGGTGACTTTTTACCTGACTTGAACACACAAAGAGACCTAGAACCAAAAAGGCTGTCAAGGATGAYGATAACACATATTTAATATGGCTTTAAATTTTTATCAAGGAATACCTTGATAATATATCAGTAATTATCAATTACTGATGTATTATCAATATCAATATAAAAAAAAAATGAAAAGAATACGTAAATAAAATAGGAAAATCACTGTGCCTATGTGAATCCCGAAGTAAAACATCCCACTACACTATAAACTTTACAGAATGAGTTTGCTGTTCATGATCTGTTGTAAAATTTTATAAGATACATAAAAACCTTTGCCAAGACAAATGAGGCTGATAAAACTGATTTTAGTTTAATGTGAGATGTATTTTTGYTTGGAAGTGTACAGAATGAAAAGAGGACATCAAGACATAATAGGTCAGATGTGTTGCTGAAATGCATGGCCAGTTTCATTCAATTTCCTGGTGCTAAGCAGAAGTGAAGGCGGGAGGATCTTTACATGCCAGACTGCAGATTATTTTCAACATACAATTTTAAATAACCTCCAATGCTGAGAAAAGTTGAACAAAAGTTTATTATTACATTTTCCATTAGAAAATGCACTTATATTCAATGTTCATTCAGTGTTCATTTCAATTATGTTTTTTTGGGAAGAGCTGAGGAAATTAATTCATACKTATCAAAATGTCAGTATTTGAGTAGGTAAAAAGATAGTGATTTCAGCTTTGTGATTTTATTGACTTCAGTTCTAGCAATGTTATCTTACCTCGACGTGTATTTGCCCTTGTAAATGTAATTTTTGGCAAATTATACCAACATCATAAAATCATTGAATTTTTAGGATAAGTTTTTTCTAGAAGGTGCAAAAAATTATGAGATTTGACTGTACTTTGGAAGTAAATTGAATTTCATCATGATGGAATTTCCTTTCAGAAAAAAAATAYTGTCTCTGCTGCTTTTAGTACAGTAAGGATTTTTATTTTTCTCCATTTATAGACAGGTATGTGAAGARCCTTGAGATAATTTTGATCCTGTGCACAACCTCCTTGAAATAATTTTTAACATTAGAAGGATGTTACACAGGGACTTTTCCAGATAAAGATCCAAGGGCAGCCTGAGGCTGCTGTTTGGCATTTGGGATGGGGTGGGCTGTGCTGCACATCCAGGGGCCAGCTGAGACCTGACCCCTGTGTATTGAGCTGATGGCCCCACATGCTCTCTGCCTGTATTTAAACAGCAAATATCAGCTTCTCCTCCCCTCATGCCAGCAGCAGCAATTGCTGATGTAGGAACAGCCCTCTGATCCTTGGACTTCTGTTACGGATCAGCCAATAAGAAAGTCGATTGTGGGTTTGGGTTGTAGAAAGTGTTCCTTCCTCTACTTATGCCTGTTCTGCCAGAAATGTGGGATTTAGTACAGCACACACCTCTGTATGCCTCTTTGCTGGTGTAAGAGGCAGATTCCAACATGTGTCTTGTTTCTTCTTCTTCCCATCCTGGGAATTCTTGCACTGCTGGAATTCTCAGAGCACTGCCCAGCARCTCTTGATTTTTCTCTGCATACACTGTGGATGCAGCAGGCCATACTTCGCAAAGATTTTGGTACCTTTTCTGCTGAGATGCAAATGCCATTTCCCCTTAGGATAAGCCTCATAATTGAATTCGTATTTGAACTCAGTATTAAGGTCCACATCGGTTGCCAAAATCATGTGAAATATACAGTGTATGCATTTAGGACAGTATGAACTTTGCTCAGTGAAGTRGTCAGTAAATATTGACTCCAAGTTGGTAGTGGGAATGAGCAAAGCACTGTTTCAGCCTTACCTTGCGCTTCTGTAAACAGAGACAGCAGCTTCAGCCAGAATTCAGCCACTAATTGSTCATGCTTCCATCTGCACAGGAACATTAATCATGTGAAAAGCTGTTTGCTTTCAGCGCTGCTATCTCTGCATCTTTATAAATAATCTCCAAAAATTACTTTTAAAATAACCATCTATAAGGGGCTTTTCATATAAACATTGCAAGACTTTGTATGGACACATTAGGCCATTTTGCTTCTGAACTAAATGGCGTTAGGACAGTCAGATAGTTCAGATATGGTATAAATTCCAATTTTGGCTTGTAGAACTGGATTTCAATTACACTGAAGGAAACTAAAGCTATGCCAGGGGGCATAATGGCCATAAATAACGGAGTCTTTTAAGACTTCCAGACCACAAGAGGCTTACTAAGACATGAGCAATTGACAGATCATACATTAACTCAGTAAAAGCCATGACATTTTTCACTGTGCTCTGGAAATTAATTTCACTGGCTAATATATTTTCCCTTAAAAGACAGTATAAAACTACATGGATCAAAATAAAGATGTAGTCTATTTATGGGGTGAATTTAGTATCTCACTGTTGAAAATAGATTGCATCAAATTTTGTTGAGTATTTGTTCTGCTGGATTGAGGTACCTGATTTAGATTCAGATTCCTTTTTTTCTTCTGATGCCACAAACTCTCGAATATTAAAAAATAGACACATGGGTACAGCAGATTAGAAACTTAGAGTAAACACTAAGACATTACTATTTTTTTCTTCAAATGTGGCATAGAGTTTTGAAGATTTTCAGGAAAATATTTTCCTTGGTGGATTATAGTTTGACCTTACCATCAGAATACTTTTTGACTCCAAGTGAAGTCAAATGGTTTAATATGGTAAATTCAGGGATGGAGAACTGTGGAGAGAACCACCATCATCTGTGGTGATGCTGGGAGTTGGAGGCAGTGGCACCATTTAAGTGTGTGTCTGCCTGTACAACAGCAGAAGTTAAATGTTGTTTCCAAGCCCTCATCATTAAATACACAAACTCTTCCCGGAGGGTTGAAATCTTCACTCCCAATACAATCTTGGAAAATAAATGCTTCACAGAAGGATGGATTTGGATTTGTTTGTAATAGGTTTTATTGCAGCTTCTCTTTTGAAATTAAATCAACATATTAAGTGAAAATTCTTAAATATATATGTTTTTTCAAGGGCTAAGTTTGATTGTGAAGTAGTCCTTCTTTTCAAAAGATGCATGTTTTACACTGAGGATATCTGAAGAAGAGAACTCTGAGGCTGAACAGTCAGTGAAGCTTAAGGGACTCTAATTACTGTACTATTAAAATATATCTTATTTTGCAGTTTGTGAGCTGAAATCACCTTCAATGAGTGATTTTCTCTGGGGCCTAGAAAATTCTGGCTGGCTGAAGCACATCAAAGCCATTATGGATGCTGGCATTTTTATTGCAAAGGTAAAGTGTGTAAAATGAGAGTGGAATGCAAAGTAACCAGATACAAAAATAAGAACCAAATTCTCTGTTCATGGGTAACTGTTGTTWTCTCTTCAAAAAACCATCTTGCAATGCTTTATGTATGAGGAGAGATGATTCTTAAGTGCTGTTGTGTTGACATTTTTCTATAATAGTAAAAAAGGTTTGAGTTCTTTTCTGCAAAGCCTCTACTAGCCTGTCTCTTGTTATGCCAGATATTTGAATGCCCGTATGTTACTCCCTAGCAGTGATTGTTACTGTTTTTTCCCTATTTGCCCTGTCTTCTCCACTCGTTTCTGGCCTTTTTCTTTGTAGAAGATTTCTGGTAGTTGTAATATATAGGTATTAGCTAYTGTTTTATCCCCTCTGAGTTATCAGGTAACCAATTAATTCACCTAATTCAGAGGACCCAACTCCTGTGTATTACCATGGCCAAACTCTCAGGCTGCTTGCACTTCTATATACTTGAGAACTCTTCCAGGAAACAGTTTTGGCTTTAATAAGAAACTATTTCCCCTAATCCCCCCACCCAGAGCAATGTAGACATTTGTCAGTTACCAGCAGTAGTTGTAATTTTATTACCCCCTACCTTGTGCTCTGCCTTTTCCTACTTCAGTTCTTATTTCTGATATTGCTATTACAATTTCTTATAGGCCATTTTATTCACCTGACCTGCTGCACACATCTATACAGATAAAACTTCCTGGGTTTCCCTCCTACTGTTTCTCTTGCACTGCTTCTTCCTTATCAGTAGGCGACTGTAGTTTATTACCTGAATAGCAGATGTAGGATTAATACATGTATTATTAGCCCCAGCCCTACTACCTTTCATTAGCTCATAGAAATGAGGTAATTTACATTAGCTTTGCCAATTTTCCCCAATAATTTTGGAAAYTATTATCCTTTGTCCATATGCTTGCTAGCCTAGTGCCTTCTCATACACGCATTTTGACCCATTCTTATTTGTACTGTTCCCAGTTCTCAGTTCTTGGTCTTCTGCCCACAGGGGTTCTATTTTGGTAGCATTTACTTGTCTCTTGAGATAAATATAGATAATTTATTATTCCTCATTCCCTATTAAGTCCAAACTTAACATAAATGTTTTTTTTTTTCTTGCAGTATCTTTCCTAACCTATTTTATTTTCTATTTCCTAAATTTAATTTTCTTTAGAAATGACAAAGGCCAAAACCCTTAGAATTAAAAAAAACAACCACCAACCCTCAAATTCTAAAAATAATACACCACCAGACTCTGGAGAACTAAGTACAATTTCTTCTTAATGTGTTCATATGAAAAAAGGGATTTTCTCTCCCCATTTATTACATCAAAGATACTGATAAACTCTTGCTTATTAGACATGAAATTTACCAGTACCACAGGCTTCCCCACAAACCTTTACAGCATGTCACCAGTGCAATGCACTGTGCTGTAGTGATGTCCAGGCTAGTGCTGGCATTGGAAACAGACATTGCCCTTACTGACAATACCATCAAGATGAGAAATTAAGAGCCATATTGCACGTATGGCAGTTCTTTAAGTGGCATGTAAGTTAGCATATCTGAATCTGCTCTGACAGATTGATGTATTTTAACTGAAATGAATTCCACATCATCCTGTAGTGGAGCATAAACAGGTCATTCTCAACCACCATACTGCATGGGCTGGGGTGAATTAAGTCTTTTCAAATGAGAGGAATAACACTGATTTTCAAACGAAATTAATAACATTCTATTTAAGAACTCTGTGGTAGAATAAAAAATGAATGACCTTTCCCAGTTCCCAAATTAATGCTCTCTATGGCGCTGTCTCACTGTTCCTCTCATACCATTGTCTTCCTCCCTGCTTGTGAAATTTCTGACTTTTTCTGTATCCTTAGGCTGTGGCTGAGGAAGGTGTGAGTGTGCTTGTTCACTGCTCTGATGGCTGGGATAGGACAGCCCAGGTTTGCTCTGTAGCAAGCCTTCTATTGGATCCATATTACAGAACTATGAAGGGATTCATGGTAAGCAGGTTCTTTCACAGAGTAAATGAAGTAGTATGGCATCACTTTAGATGACTATCTTTGGTTTCAATAGGAAATAAACTGTCCTTAAATATACCCTTGTTTCGGTTTGGGGTTGTTTTTTGKTTTTTTGTTTTTTTCTGAAGTTGAAAGGAAGGCTTCTACATGTTCGTGTTAAAGTCTTCYAATTCGAATGAAATGTTATTCAAGGTGGGGATCAGTTGGGAACCCACATTTGGGTTTTTTTCCCTAACCTTTGCCAATAAACTTTCTTACAGCCAAAAGAGCTTTTGTGCAAGCAAGAATTTGTATTCATTTGCCGTGAACATTATAATTTTGAGTGTCAGAAGTGTGTCATTTCTAGACATTAGATTGCAGTTAGCAGCCATATTGGAAAATCTGTTCCTTTCCCAAGTCAATCAGCAGCAGTAAAGCATCTAGAAGTGGTTATCAAGTTACCAGTCACATGTTAAAAAGATGCCTGAGACATTTATAAGTTCTATTTTAGAAAGCAATGAAACAAGATACTTGAAATTGTGCTGAAATACTGGCATCCTCTCTGCATCCATGAACAGTGCTGTTTCCCTGAGCAGGCAGCAGTGCTCATCACTCTGCTAGCCTCATTTTTTTGCTAATTCTGAAAATTATTTASGATTATAATACTGCTTGCTTACATCATTCTTGCTTGCCACTTTTCTGCTTATTCTAAGAATTAACTGGGATTCCAACACTGCTTGTTTACACCATTCTTCTGCCTACTTCAACATGTCAGCTTTACTCCACAATACTGAATGCAATATTCTCATTTTAGGTGTTAATTGAAAAAGACTGGGTTTCCTTTGGTCACAAATTTAACCACAGGTAGGGTGGTGCAAAGGTTTTCCTCTCTATATATGTATATGTTTATGTAGTCATTTATGTTTGGTCACTAAAAAGTTTATGCTGCCATTCTGGTTTGACTTCTTTGCTGCCTTACAAAACACAGCAACCAAATGCCCCAGGAAACTGCCATACCTCTCCACCTATAGAATTTAGATGCCTGGAAAAGTCAGAGTGAAGTATATATGCACTCCAAAATCACTATGGGGGATTCTTCATGCTGGTCTTGCAGCATGAGCATTGAGACATCCAAGTGAGAAGTATGTATTTGGCTTGCAAAATCCCTTTGACTTCAGCAGACCTTCCTGTAGTGCAAGGCTCCCCACATAAGTCCCTGTTCATCGAAGGGACTTCTACATCTTTCAAGACAGTACTTAACCTTCAGCATGCCTATGAATTATCTATTACATAAAATACTCTTCCTATTACACTCTGTTCTAACAAAACCAGCAAGATTTGCTCAGAAATGTCAGGCAAAGTGGAAAGACATTTGGACGAGTGATTTTGCACATCGATCCAGTAAATGCTATAATGTAGTGAYGATGTTTTGAAGAGTTAGATATTTAAACATGGATACATTCTCATATTTTCTTTCTTTCTTGACTTTACTTTTACTTTCTGTGAAAACTGAAAATGCAATTTTTGTATTGGGGTTTAATTACATTATATTGCTTGATTTGAATATAAATTTGTAATAATTAAAAAACACRTCAAAACTTTCAGGAAATCTGTGCAGCTCCATACCACCTGTGAAATTCCAGCAGGAATTACTACRTTTAATATGATATTGTCAATTGTTTATGCTTATCAGTGGTAAAGGTTATGAAATGCAATAACCAGTGATACCTTCRGTTTGCTGCGCAATATTGTTATATTTTCTTTGACAATAATATCAGAATTAGARGTTTCAATTTTAGATGTTTATGAAATTCTACTCTGTTAGCATGTGTACATAAAAATGCACATACATTTCCCTCCCAAGCAGAATAATTGATTGAAAATGCTTTTTCCCATCATGTAAACTTGAAAGCATATTTTAATTCTATGTGCTTTATATTTTCAGGCTCCTTTTCTTCTTTGCAAGTGGTTCCAATAGGCATTTTTATATACAAAAAGATTCATGTCCACTCGACAGTCACAGTAGCATAAAMATTTCCCACTTTCTAGGAATTTCACCAAGAGAGGGCAGCTTTAACCTGTTTTCTGCTCTCCTACAATGTAGCTCTCCTACACAGTTTTCTGGTTTAGGGAATGATCTACTACTAAGAGACTGTCTTAAGACAAACTTTTGTCATTAAGTCACTGCAGTCATTATTTTGGTACCTTATATTACTGTGGTACAATTTATATTGATAGCAGTAAAACACTATGTATGTAGCAGCCAGCTTTTTGTAGTGGTAATGTAAGAAGAAACCTGTAAAAAGGATTTTTTTTTTGTTTGTAATTCATTCTACTACATGATTCTTGCACCATTTTTGTAACTAAAAATATAGTAGGAGTTGAGATTTTARAAATGAATGCTGATGATGTAGCTTGCACACAAAAAGTGAGGGATTTGTTTCTCTCAGTGTTCATTCAGCTTTCCTACAGGAATTCAGGTTATAATTGAATGTATTTTGTCTTGTTTCAGGTATGGCAATTTAGATGGAGATCCAAAGGAGATATCACCTGTTATTGACCAGTTCATTGAATGTGTTTGGCAGTTAATGGAACAGTTTCCTTGTGCCTTTGAATTCAATGAGAGATTCCTCATCCACATACAGCATCATATCTATTCTTGCCAGTTTGGGAATTTCCTGTGTAACAACCAGAAGGAGAGACGAGAGCTAAAGTATGAAAATGTTTCCTTTGGTAGCATATTTGTGCCTGGGGTCTGTGGTTGCTGGTGTATTGGGGAGTCATTCTCGAGTTTGCATGTCTGTCTTTCATAAGGTGCAGGGTGCCTCTTGTCTTCTGGCAACACAGATTAATATCAAAAAAGGTTGATCCTCTGCCGTGTAGCTCTGCTGGGAGCATAATCCATGGTGTGCGTGATAGGGATTAGTGAAAATGGACAAGAGCATTATGCCCTCAGCCATGTGGGCCTACCTTTACTGCAGCACTGACAAAACACAAGGCAAGCTGGCCCTGTAACTCTAGTATAAAATGATTACTAACKCTAGGAAAGTTCTCATTTTAAGAGTTATTGTTCTTCTGTACTTTAACATGTCCTTGGATCCCATGTCAGGACATTTTAGTCCCACTCTGTCAGGTACTTCCTTACAAAGAGCCTTTTTGTCTGGTAGGACTGAGTCAGTGCACTGTCCTGCTGTCGCGCCCAAAGCAATTAAGAAATTAATCTACCTGCCCTGAGACCTGAACAAAGACACATCATCATTCCTGAGAGTGCTCATGTTCCTATCAGCTTCCTGGGGCCCTGGGTCCTTGACACATGATGATATCCTTGCTTTGCTCAAGCATCCTGATTACGTCAGCAGCAGCAGCAGCAAGAGAGGAAGGTGCTGGCTGCTGCTGGCTGCTGCCATTTGGTCCCGTTCATTGCTCAAATGCAGAGCAGCCACAGTGCCACAACCCATTTGAAATCAAAACCTTCACAGATCACCAAAACCTAACCATGTAAGAAATTGCAGCTCAGTGGGATAGGAGTGCTTTTAAATGTGGGGATCCCTTTGGTGCAGGGATCGGTCCGAAAGCTCACTTTATGGAAGTGATCCTCTCCACCTCACAAAGGAACCAGTCTCTCCGCCTATGCTCCGGCTGCTTTTCCTTTATGGAAATGGAGCAGATTTTAATTTTAGTGACCAACAAGYGTCTCTTTTTCTCTATGCTTGCATCTTAAGTCTAATTCTGTTAAGGAAGCTGATCGTAAACAGGAGTACAGAGGACTAGAATGATGCATTTAAGCTGTAGCTATCCCTGAACTGTAATAGATGCTTTAATATATTTTTATTTAATGCATTGTTTTTCAGAATCAAAGAACGAACATATTCATTGTGGGCTCACTTGTGGAAAAATCGTGCTGATTACCTGAATCCTTTATACAAGCCAGACCACAGTCAAACCCAAGGGACCCTGCACCCACAGATAGCTCCMTGCAACTTCTTGTACAAGTAGGTATCACTTGCTGCTGGGAATTGTAAGATGTGTTATTACAGAACTGGATGCCATTGTATAGAAGTATTCCTCATTCTATAAGGTAGTTTATAGTAAATTCAGTCTCAGATGCAGTGTGTTTGTTTCTTATGGGCCCATATTCAGACACCACCTCTGCACCATTCCACAACAGAGTATTAGTCTGAAAAGAAGCTTAAGATTAAAGCTATTATGATAGTTGTGTGTCCTAATTTCATGGTTACTCACTTCTTCCACTGAGAATTGCCTCTTTCAGATCTGTTCTCGTCTGTTGTTTCTAAATTTATAGCTGCTTTAACTTCTTCCACTCCAAGATTTTGTGGTGTCAATTAGGATCGGTGTCAAAAATAAAAAGGATCTTCCAAGAAATGGTTTGGCATGGTTTCATCGCTAAAACAAGTGTTTAGTAAAACAAAAAGCTGACTTTTCCTATGTTGTTATACCTCGAAATTAAATTTTACTTGATATATTTTCAAAATGTATCAAAATATCATAGTTTTAGAAATGTCACTATTGACATTCTGACTTAATTAATTGTACCATTTGTCTTTACAAACCTCAGGAGAAGTTGAATAGAAATTAATGAATACTGTGATTTAAGTAAAACTGCTCAGTTTGTTCTCCAGCTGCAAGTAATAGTTAAAAAGTCAATAAAAATCCTAAATGACAGAAATTGAATTCTTTCATGTCTACTGTACCAGGTCACATCCACTTTAAAACAACTTATAAATAGTCATTAATCGTATTCTTTGGGATAGTGGGGTTTATAAAGGAAGTACTGATACAGCAGATCCTCCAATGGATAAGTAATCCTGTTGATTTTAATCGAATTACTTGGGTGCGTAAAGATTTCCAAGCAAGTGCTATCAGATGCTAAACTTAAGGGGGAATGTGATTTAAATAGTATACTATTGGGATAGGAATAATAAGCCACCAAGCACGTGCTCCAAAAATATCTGTCAGCTCCTTGGCCAGACAGCTGCAGCTGACAGCAGGGCTTGGCTGCTTAACCTGTCTGGTGAACTGATCACAGACTCAGGGCCTGCCTGGGGCCATATCGCCAGGAGAAGGCAAGAGGAGCACTGCAATAGTATAGAATTTCAAAGTTGACTTCATGGGAAGTTGAACAACAATTGGAATAGGAATACGAAAACTGTCTTTATCCTTGGCTATTTTATAGGTACCATTGCTCTAAAGGCCATAGTGTAGAACAAGAAAATAATACCAAAACACCCTGCAAAATTTTCAATTCAGTGAACCTTTCTCAGTCATGTGATCTAAGCTAAATTCACCTTTCTTTCTGTTGTGTAGCAGAATTAGTTTGAGCAGCCTATGTCCCCAAAGTTGCACCTTCAGGACAGAAAAATGCAAATGAACAATGAATCTTGTTAAATGGTGTATGAACTGAAGTGCCTCAGGGAAAAAAACAGAAAAAAAAAGAGTGTGCATTTAAGCCTTGTGAGGCTACTTCACCAAATGGGAAAATTCCTGACCTTCCCATCAATTCCAGGTTCTGGAGTGGAATGTACAACCGCTTTGAAAAGGGACTGCATCCTCGACAGTCAGTCACTGATTATCTGATGGCAGTGAAGGAAGAAACTCAGCAGCTGGAAGAAGAGCTGGTAATCTTACAAGAGGTAATAAACAGCTGAGCTTGATACCCCAGACTTGGTAACTGATGACAGATGAAACCCAACTCCGTAAGCTGCAGAGTCCCCYATACACTACATCCTTTTCTGGAATGAGGATGTTCAGCCATTATCTTTGTTCTCAGACAAATTACCGTGAATATTTTGCATTTAAGACACAAAAGTGGACTTTTTTTCTTTAAGGATAAAATTTTACCTGTGTTGGTGCACAAGTACTACTGAAAGTAAGTTTAATCCTTCTGTAACTCAGAAGGAATTGTAGCTCGGAAGAGTGCTGTAATTCAGCACTACTTTGTGGTAAATTGTGCACTTCTCATACACCATAAATACAAATAGGCACTTTTAAAGGGTGGGTTGGGCCCTGGAAGTTTATTAAAAAAAAAAAAAAAAAAAAAAAGCAAGAAAAAAAAAAGCAAAGATATAGAAGAGTATTTTTGGACCCTAAATGTGTCCACATGACATATACTGTTTCCTTTATTTCAGAGACTGGCGAATCTTCAGAAATCACAATCAGGTGATAGTAAAATGAAGAGTAAGCAACAAGACCGAAGCAAACAGTTTGGACTGTATACTTCCAACAACAGCTTAGCTAACACTCCCCAGGAGTATAGCAATGATCTGAAATCATTCCCATCTCGGAGCCCTTCACAAGGGGATGAAGATTCTGCCCTGATTTTGACACAGGACAACCTGAAAAGCTCTGATCCTGACCTCTCAGCCAACAGTGATCAGGAGTCTGGTGTGGAGGACTTAAGCTGTAGGTCCCCAAGTGGGGGTGGCTGCGTGCCTAGTGAAGACAGTGGCAAGGACTCTGATGAGGCTGTATTTCTGGCAGGCTGAAACACCTTCATGGCAGCAAGAATCCAGATGAAGTTGAGTCTTACAGAGTCTGGAATGACATCTTTTCATGAGATGAACAGAAGGGGTCTGTGGCCTAAAGAAATAATCCAAAGAAAGGGAACTGTGCAATTGTGTAAGTAAAGATCTAAGCAGAACAAGCTATGGTTAATTTTAAGACATAACGCTAAAGAAAAGTAATATCTGCTGTTATATTTCATTAAGCCAATGTGGTGTTTATCAATGCTGTACATAATTACTCCTTACTTTGTACATTTCCATAACTATTTATTGGACAAGATAATAGTTCTTTCCCTAAGATGTGRAACTCCCAAGTACTCCCTTATACAAGGCTGAAGATGCATTAGTGTTAGCCTTACTGGTGAAGCAGTCAACACTTATTTTTATAGAGCTCATTTGCTTTCAGGTATATGTATATTTTTCACTTTTTTCTTCACAAGAGGTTTGAACAATTATTTGGCMTAACCTCCTACTAAAATCTTCTACAGCAAAGTAAAACTAACAAATGGACCTGCTGACTCAGGGAACAAATGAAGCTTTGATTCTGAAAAAAWATCCTTTAGTAAGCAGTTGCTGCTGCTGCATCTGAATGCATCCCATTTGTACTCAATTCTGAATCAGTGTTGAAAGTTCAGTAGTTTTTGTGACCAAAACTTCAAGGAACATAACAGTAACCTTTGTGCTAAAACACCCCTTTGTAACAAAAGGTACACGTGGCAGTTTACTCTTGCCTCTTTATATTTTATCAAGCTTGTTTATATCTTACCCTTGTTCCAAACCACCTATGTAAGATATAAAGGTAAAATTTTAAAGGTGATAAAATCCCAAATTCTTCAGCCTATTTTGATTCCTACTTGAAAAGGTTTTGAGTGAGAGTAAGGTACATATACAATGGAGAGAATAGAGAATATAAAATCACTTASGAAAACATCACTTCAGAAGATACCTGAATTTGTAAGTTAAGTACTTTGTAAGTAAACTACTTTGCCCATAAAGGAACTATTATAAAGGATATTTCTTCCAAATTTTGATTTCAAAATAAACTAACCATAACCAACTGGTGGTTTTTATCCTCACACAAAATTTCCTTTTTAGTATTTGCCAACCTGAATAGAGCATGGCAGTACTAATTTAAGAACTCAATCACCATTTACCAGAACGTTTAATCTCATTTAAGAATTTTCACGTTTTCAAGAATAGGAGTAATAGTTTTCATAATCAGCAGTCCAGAAGTAAATAACTGAAAAATGTTTATAATTTGGAATGTCTTGAAACTCATTGAAAAGGTGGTTATATTAGGYTGCAACTCTTACAAGTTTTTTGAGGGTTTTCTTTTGTTCTTTTTTTTTTTTTCATTTTAGTTAAAGCCAGCAGTTAAAAATGTAATTCATATGGCTGCTTTTACCTGCTTGAGGACAATGCAGAATTGAACTCTTGTACAGCAAATGGGTAGTAATGTAAGTTTACTTTGATTGCATTCCACACTACTTCTTTAAATACAGACTTACAGGCAGAACTATTATATCAATATACCTCAATTTAGAATCATTAGATTTTATTACTCAGTCTKCTTTTCTGTAATGGCTTTTCATTCTGTTGTGTGAAAATGTTATTAAAAGTGAATAGGTAAACTTCAGTATTATGACTATTCTCCAACGGGAGCCGCTGTCTTTGAACAAATAATTTTTACCAGCAAKGTTTATCTTAGTGTCATATTGGAAAGGCCATATCCTCAATTTGATAAACCACTATGGCTCAATCAAATAAATACAACTATAAATTATATTCTGTTGAGAATCTAGCCTTCTGTTTTTTAATCTTTATGAATTTTAAATAAATGAAAGCCCTGATTTTAACTGCACTTCTAAAAATGTTTCATATTTTGAACATAGCCTGTAAATTTTATGGTATTAAAGGAAACTATGAATGGTTTTCTCAAATTAAAGAAGCATGCTGCAAAGTCAGCAGAGAAAAAAACCCACAAATATTCTGCCTAAAAATCAGTTTGAAAATGGATAATKTTATTGTACATCTTTAAAATGTAAAATTATGTATGATGGTATTGTATCCTACTAGACATGTCTAGAAATAAATGCAGAGAACAAGATACGCAAATTCAAAGAGCTGTCTTTGTGTTGCTTATGCAACTCCTTGTAACTAGCTTTACAACTAAAATATTAACATATTAACATTTTCTTTATTAAACCTTCATTTAGCAGCCCTCTGTGATGTGTCTTTTAGTCCCTGGAATTTTGCATTAACTACTACTGCTTTCATTGTACYGCATGTATTTGTGGCATTATCAGGCTAATGACAAATACCTTCAAATAAACACTTAGGTGGTATTTAATGTTGTTTCATACCAGAGAATGAAACAAAAATTTGCTTTCCTGATTTTTGTGATAGAGTTCTTCGTTTACTCAAGAGTCACTGTCACTGAGATCAAGGGATTCTTATATTTTCCCTACTCAGATACTTGAATCCAGCAGTTTCAGTTGTGGAGGAGTCTACAACTGATAACTAAGAAAATGGAGACTCTTGTCTCTTGTATCAATTATATGGGAGCATGTTATACCCTTGTATTTCTTTAGGATATGTGAAAAAAAAGGATGAAAAGACTTCACTATTAACTATGTTGGTTTCTTGTAGCCTTGCTGCAAATCTTTGCAAATTTGGCCCACTGCAATAAGCCCACTGTAATTTGAAATAGGACACAGATGAATGTAACTGAACTGCTAGAAAGGCCTCACTAGGTTCAGGCTGCTCTTAAGTATGAAAATGTGCCTCTGTGGACACAGAAGGCAATGGGATCAAACAGCTGAAGCTTTCTTTACAGAACATCACCATCTGAAGCACAGAAGGAAAACTTTGCCAGCTGCTTTCATTGGTAACTCTATACAAGAGACAAATGTGGTAAACTGGTAACGGATTGTAAAAAGCAGAGAAATAAAATTAAGTAGGTGGAGGGCACAACAACATGATATCACTTAGAATAAAAAGGGGGAAAAAAGTAAAAGGGGGAAGGCAGGGAAGGAAAGCTCTTTGTAAAATCAGCAAGTAGGCCAGGGAATCATGTTCTTTGAAGAGAGAGAAAAGCCAGGGCATGGGTTCACAGCATGAAAGATGTTTAATGATACAAACCAATAACAATTAAACCCCRGCAACAATGTGAGGATAGCCTTTGCAAAGAAGATAAGATTGTCATCACTGTTGACAAGCTAACTTGATGCTTTTATGTGGACACTGCCCTGACCTGCATGCAAGGGTTTTCAAGTAGATCACAAACATAGCCAAAGCCAGGAACTGCTTCTGGCTGCAGGCTGAAGGCTGAATGCAGCTTTTAGGTTGGCTGGTCAACCTTACGCTCTGCTCTCTTCTTAGTAGTGCAGAGATAGAGAAACACCACAGTGACTGAAAAATCCTCCAAGGACAGGTAAGTTGCTGACAATTCATTTGGGAAGGGAGGAACATATGCTTGGGTGAGTTTGAAGTAGGTCAACTTATGACAGTACAGAGACACGTGAAAAATATACCAAAGATCTAGAGCCAAGTGTACTGAAAACCCTGAATTCAGAGAGGCCAGAAATATTGCCAGAGTGCAGTGATAAGAAGATAAAATAAGCATTCAAATTTACTTATATTATTTAAATTGCCAGTAAAGCACCTGAAACCAGCAAATCAAATCAAGTTAAATCTTCAAATAAAACATACTACTCTTTTAAAATAAATCATTCTCTAAACACACTAAGGGAACCTTAGAGGTCCACCAGAATCACAACTGAATTCAGGCAAGGACTAAATCTGTTGCTAAGGTTTTTCAGATTAATTTRTTCCATATCTGAAGACTAAAGAACATAGCTCTTTATGTTAAAGTATTCCCTTATTATTGTTATATAGGTTTTCTTTATAGCTTCTTAYTGCATAGAAGTGTGATGACTAAAGTTATCTGACCAAAACAAGGCATTTACAAAAGCCAGAGATGCAATACAGGTTTTTAAGCCCATTTTAGTGAAGGCAGCTCCAAGAATTACTGCTGTTGAAATGGTTAAATAGGAAAAGCTCAAACTACTGCATAGAGATAGAAAGTTAGTCCTTGAGTATCGTACTGTTCCACTTCCTACACAATCCTRTATCTACTCAAAAACTCCTGCAATGCCCAACTATATCTGTTAGATATAGTTACAAGTTATATTAAAATCCTAAAGCCTTTATTTTAACACATTACAGTATTTTCTGTTCCGAATAATTAACTGTGATAGCTGACTTGGTTGCCAGAATTTTAACTGAGTTCTACCTAAATGTCTCTTAAACCTTTATTTTATAAAAAATTATATTAATTTATAAATTATTCTAGTTTTTGAAGGGAGTAGTTAGAACTTGGACATGTATAAAACTGTAAGATTTGTAACTTCTGTATTTGGTCCAGGYCTTAAGTGGCAAAACTGTAGGAGTATGGAAAGAGCAAACAACAGAATTATTTTATACTGCTTAGAACTGACTTTATCAGTCTCTCGTTTGCAGTGGTGGCTGGCATAGTGCTTCCTCAGCAAATTCACTCATGACCCAAGCTGGGAGCAGCAGCCAATACCCCAGAGGGCTGTGTCCTTCAGAGGGACCTCAACAGGCTGGAGGGATGGGCAGACTGGAACYTTCTGAAATTCAACGAAGGCAAGTGCAGGGTCGTGGATGTGGGAAAGAAAAGTTCTGGGTTCCTTAGTACAAGGAAGACATGGAGCTCCTGGAGAGGGTCCAGCAGAGCGCAAGGTGAGGGGAATGGAACACCTCACTTATGAGAAAAGGCTGAGGGAGCTGGGCCTGTGTAGCCTGGTGAAGACTGAGAGGGACCCCATCAATGTCTGTAAGTTTTTGAAGGAAGGGTTTGAAGAGGATGGAGCCRGGGTTTTCTTGGTGGTGCTGAACAATAGTACAAGAGGCAAAGGGCAGAAACTGATGCACAGGAAGTACCACCGAGTATGAGMAGGAACTTTACTGTGTGGCTGATCATACACTGGAACTGACTGTCCAGAGAGGCAGTGGAGTCTCCCTCACTGGAGATATTCAGGAACTGTCTGGACACARTCTTGTGCCATGTGCTCTGGAATGACCCTGCTTGAGCAGGGAGGTTAGACSAAACGACCCAGTGTGGACCCTTCCAACCTCACCCATTCTGTGATTTAGCAGTAAAAACRGATACTAAAATCAGGCAAATGCCAGACTCAAGTAGCAGTTATGATACAGAACATACACTCCCCCACAAATTACTGCAACATCAGAGACGAGCCATCTCCTTACTCTAGTATTTCTTGTTCACAGAATTGACTTTCCYATTGGAAGAACACCTGAGCATGACATTGTGCATGGCTCCCAAGAAACAAGCCTGTTATTCCAGATTGCTTAAAGTTCACTTGACATATTTCAGAAAYCTTTAGAATATGCATCTAACAGCAGCTGCCATTCTCTTTCACTTTATGGGGAACTGCTTAAAGCTGGATTTACATCTGCATTCCATATTTTGGCAAAATAAGATAARGAATGTGTTTAACAGTGAGCTACTAGCATGCTAGAAGCAACTAAGCAAAGTGTTATCAGTATTCTACCTAATTTTGTGGTGAAAGTAGACCAGGGAAGGCACAACCAGTGTAGGACTAAAAGAAAAGAAAAAGAAAACAAAAAAAAACCTCAAAAACCACCCCCAAATATCCACCCAAACCAGCAGCAGGTTGGCCCTTAAAGACTAGAAACAGGCTGACCATTCTTGGATGTGACAGGATTCCTGCAGCTAATCCAATACACATCATCATTGAATACAGACTTCTGTGCTTCTTTTCTAGAGTATGGGTTTGTGACTGCAGAAGGGGCTAAAAATAAGGGAAAAAAAAATCCAAATAATAGGAACAATGATATCAGAGAACAGAAAAGGAGAAAAGAGAACCTAACTTTCAGATCCCTAAACGAACACTAAACTTGCATTGAACAGCGGCATTTTTTTGTAGATTCTACTCCACCAGCATCAGAAAGCCTCCATGGAGAAGTTCCCAATTTGTAAATTTGTTCACAAAGGTAATGTAAGAGGAAAAGCTGAAGTTTTCAGAACTTGTACTAGCAAATCCCATGAAGGTGACCTGGCTAAAGAATTCAGTGACAGTAGACCACCATAATACGTGACATAACATTCAACATGAGGTGGCAGATGAGAACAGAAGTCTGTCCTTCCATGGTGTTATAAAATCTATGAAGAGGATACCAGCCCAATACATCAAGAGCACCAGATGTCTGGTCATCCATTCCTTTCTCTGTTCACAAGGAAGAAAGAACAACAAAAACCAGCTCTGTACAGAATTGTGTGTAGTCTTGAGTGTTAACTTGAACCTCAGAAACAGAACAGAAACAACTTGCACGTGCAGCACAAAAATAGATGGGAGTTTGCCAAGAAGGTAACATCGATAACTCTTCTCCAGAGCTGCACAAATCTCATAGACACATGAGCTGCACTCATAGACACAAGTCCAGAACCACTTGGATGCCTACATCATCTAAGGCTTTAGTTAGTACATTTAGTTAGTACATAGCAAAAGTGCTATGTCAATATAGAAGCAGCATGTTTTTTAGAATAAGATCCTCTAAAATTATTGCTTAATCATTCCACTTATAAAGCTTTTTTTTTTTTTTTGACATCTAAGTATCTTTGATTTGGACCTCGGATCTATTTTCTTGGGACATCTAATCTCAGAATTAGGATCAGCATTAAAAAAAAATGTCCTGTAAAATACCAGTAAATAGTTTACTCACCCTGAAAATCAACAGCTTAGGACAACCACAAAGAATGGCAGGGCTGAGACTGAAGACCCACTAGCCTGTGGAACAGACTTTTTGCACTTATGTGATTTTCCTTACTCACTTTTCTCCATTCAGAAGAAAAACCTTATCACATTTTGCTGGAATTTAGGACTGAAGATCAGTGATGTGGAAAATTACATGCTTGGATTGTGTTTGTGCTGTAGTTTGAGACTTGACCTGCCATGTTTTGTGACCCTATCTAGGCAACACAGAGGTAGAGTCTAGGCTAAGAGGTTTATCTCCAKACTGCCTCCTGACAAGCAAGAAGCAGGATTTCCGATACATTACTTAATCAGCACTTTATCCTATTTAACTCTCAAAACTGTACAATTCCTTCTACTCCTCTGGAATTCCTTCTACTCCTCCTCCTTCCTCCTTGACTATCTCCAAGAAAACCCAATGCATTGAGAAGGTTAAGAAAGTGACTTCTTGCAATAACAAGAGAACTGTATTTTTCTCCTACAGAATATTGCAATTCTCACCAGATACATCCCTACCCTATGACAGTCAGCTTACCAGAGGCAAGATGCATTGCTTAAAGCAAAGAATTAAGTTTCACTCTCAAATTCGATCACKTGCCTTACTATATGACACTATGCATCTCCAAACAAATTAGTTTGTTTCTTAAAATTAGGGAAAAATAACTGCTATTTTCCAAAGAACTTCAGAACTAGTTTTGTAAAGTGCTTCTGCATTCCTCACATGATGAACATATTTATATTGCATAAAAGAAACAGGAAGGTGACCTGATTATTATTCCTTCATGTACAAAAAAAAAAGGAAATGAGATTGTTAGATGAAAATTGTGTTTAATTACAGTGGTAGGTACCAAGCCACTCTTGAAATCAGTGCATTAGTGCTACTAAGCAACATACCAAATCTACGCAGAGAYCATTTATTCTGATTCCAGTGTAGTTTGTTCAATACATCCTTTGCTTAATCCCCAGTCTACTTATCCAAAACACAATACAAGCTAGACTTAGTCTTCTATTATTACTTAGAAGTAAAAAAACTTCTTTAATTAATTTTGGCTTCAAGACAGCTTGTGAATCCACTGACAATCTCCATTAAGAACTTTTTTAGTTTCTTAAGTCCTATCAACACTTAAAGTCTTCCACAGATTAAGCCAAATCTATGGTTAAAGTTCAAAATACAAAAGATATGAATTATGTTTTTATAAAAATGTAAAAAGCTAGTCAAAATTACATGTTTAGGTATTTAATCTCTGAATAATGGAGTATAGCAGCAGGGAACTTAAATATTATAACTATCAACAATAAATACAAGAAATTAATGCAAAGATTGCAATAGAAGGATTCTTGAATACAACGAGAATATAAAGAGACATTCTAATTTGTACAAAAACCATCCCAGCTCTGTATACAATCTCTTCTATAAATACAACCAGATAAGATGAAATGCTTATTTGCAAATAATAGTTATTAAAAAGTGTGCTTTATTGGGTTTTTCATTCGTTCTCTTGGCAGGTGTAGTTTGCAGGAAGTCTGTAAAGACAAAGTTCCATAATTAGATATTTTAATTCCTCCAGAAGTTATGTTTTAAATACAACTAACAACAGATGCAGAACATACTTGATTTACACAGRAAGTGCTACTAGATCACTATGCACTGTAACAAATCCATTTGCAGTTATTACCAAATGTGTAACAATAAGGTAAATAGTTTAAAATACAAAGTTTACCTATAGYGGAGCATGAAATTGGCTGTGCATTGCTATTGCCTGTTGAAGTTTTTCCTCTTTGGCTCGTCTGCAGTGGCAGAGCTATGAAACAAGACATACAAGACTGAATTCTAAATACAGTTTTTTATAGTGCATGCTGCAGTTCCTCCTTAATGATTTAACTACTTTACAGACCTTTTAAAAAAAGAAAACCTGCTGGACCTACCTCCCTTCCAAGCTTTGGGCTGACCAATGATCTATACTGATGTCATAAAATGCATTTACTGGGCAGCTTTAAAGAAAGGTATACTACTTGGTAAGTTACTTCTATCACAGCATGAGCAAGAATTAACCTCAGTTACTTACTTGATGATAGCCATCAGCAGAATTTGTTTAAGAAGTTTAATAAATTAAACATTAAGATTGTTTAAGCAACATTTCAGTTTATGTCGACCTTCCAAATTTGAAATTTACCATGTGGCTATCTTCCCCCATATCTRTACAAGATACAGAAAAAATTGTCACAAAAATATCCGCAACAAGACATKAATAGGGTCTAACACATGAGATCTTTGCACGTCTGCCTTAAAAGTATGCACCTTTGGAATGCATAGTCTAAATAGACTGAAGTCTATTTAGTCTATTTAGTCTATTTTATAGTCTAAATAGACGGAAGCMATTATAGGATATATTTTTCTTCTGTCAAAACTCACTAAAGCACTGTTCTGTATCACAGAACTGCTCAAACTCTTTAAAAAATCCTAAATTTATACACGTGTCGTACATCTCTTGGATTAGAATTATTCGAATATTACATACCGTTCTCTTTTCCATGAAACTACTAAGAAAGTCATCTATCTCTGTTTTGCCTTCCAAGAAGTCTTCTGCAATAATGTCAGACTCCTCTTCAGCTTCATGAGCAGCTACTTTAAGTCTGGCTTGCAGAGCACTTGGACTGCAACTCTAAGAAAATAAAAAGTCCAATGTAATATTAACCTCTCCAATAAAACKAATGTATTTCCAAGAAGCTAAATGACTATGTAAATATGGAATATGTGGATAGAGCACTATTATTAGGTAAAAGCCAAAGTAATCAGATGAAGCTCCATCTCGAAGAACCAGCATAGCTTGTTAAACTAGAAAGGATTCAATGAAAGAAAAGTATTGCTAATTTAGGTCTTGCTACACAATCWTTCTCACAAATGACAAGTTTTTCAACTTTTACCCTACACTGCAGAAAGCAGCCAGCTTGGAAATCTGACAGGTTCTCAAGTGCATGATTTTTGAATAGAAATAACATTTCAAATGTCTTCAATAAATAGGGTCTACTTTTGAAAATCAGGTGTGAACCTGTGAAGTATAAAAAGGTAAAAAAGCACTTMCTGTTCAGCTTTTAAACACCCTTGAAATGATTGTGGAGAAGATGACAGGAAACTAAAGCACCTACTCAAGAAGCAGATCAGCCGCTAATCTAAACCAGTATACTCATATTTCTGTTCTTATAAACCTCAAACCTTACTTCGGTTTATTGCATACAATTTCATTATTTTTTCTCTAATATGTTTGGGCAGTTAATCAGGACATGATACACATCCAGTAGGGAGAYTGTACAGAGCCAGAACTGCAAAATTAGGCTATTTATAGATTTTAGATGCTTAGCCTAACCTTCACCTAYCCTATGACAAATTTTTACTTATGTTCTGTAAAACCTTAATGCAATCAGAAATTTCCTGTTAAATTAGTCTTTACAAAATATGGAGAGTTTGCCCTAATAAAAGATGACTAAAATTCACTCACAATACAAGTGAAAATTTGAAGAGAGGAGAGCAGGAGAGACCATGTGTGCACAGCAAACATCAATACATAAAGATATAGCATACAGGGAAAAAAAGAAGAAAAATTCAGCTGCTACCCCCGTACTCTCAGTCTCCTATCCATCACTAAACTGAATCAACAAATCTAACTTAGAAAAAAGAAAATGGAATACAGCAGTGGGATATTATGTCCTGTTCTTAAGTGGTTTCTTGCAGAAATAGAAGGTTTCTTAATGTCAGCTACTTCTGCCCACTTTAAAGTCAAAGGAGGCATTACGAGTCAGACTATTCTGATTTCCAGGTGAGGAAACCTCTAACACATTTGGATTACCTATGAAATCATTCAGTTTGCTGTCATGCAACTTTTTTGTTGTTATTTTGTATTTTGCTGTTTTGGGGGCATTCTGAAATTCAGGCACTATGCACGCTAATTTGATGCACTGTTGTATTCTCAGGTGACGAGGCTTTCAAAATATAAACATTTCAGTGCAGAAAGTATATGAGAAGTGCAGTATATGAGAAGTTACATCTTCTAATGAATACCAAGAATACCAACACCAAATATACCAAGAAATTATTCTCCTTCTCCTTCTACTTTCTGAAGTAATGATGTACCCTGTTTGTGCTGTAGAATGTGCAAGGTTTGACAGCACATACAACATACTGCCTGAAGTAAGCATACTCAGTGAACTGCAGAATTTAAKTTCCTGAAGTTATTGTTTTGAGCACTTTCATCTGGTACAGTTTTACAATCTCAGTATGTTAAATAAGGACCATTAATTGAACAAGTCTTTTTAAAAAATTTTATATTCATAAGAYTGGTTTGGCTCAAGATTGTACTAAACAGTGCTATACGTACATCACTCTTTTCTTCCAACTTTGCTTCTATTGTAGCAGTAAAAAACAAAAACCCAATCCAAAAAACCATAGTTTTGCTTTTAACTTTTTGGTACATGATCCCATGTTTTTCATACTTGATCAAATACTTCATCTACTTCATATTAAATTAGTTTAACCAAAAGAATATTCTTAATGGTTAAAGATACAAGTCAAAACTTCAGATTTATTGAAGTAGTCTTACAGGATGATATATAGGAATTATACCTCACTAAGTTCATGCTGTCTTTGCATCTTTTTTTCAAAGGCTGCTTTCATTTGCGTGAGTTGCTCATACTGGAAGGAAAAAGAAAAAGAACATTTTCACCTTGAAAAAACCCCAATATTACCACTAATATTTCTGAAGATTTTATTGTTCACTTACTTTATCCAACACTGTCTGTCTTTTTGCCTCGAGACTAGGCTCCAGCAACAAGTTTTTTTCTGGAAAATAAAATCACCATTACTACTTTTTTTTTAAAGGATTTAGTTCACAGGACACAACCATATATGTTAACAATTTGACAGCTTACTTGCCAGCTCTTCAATGCTTTTCACTAATTCGTCTCTATCAGAAATTATTTGCTTCAGCTGTGGAAGAGTCACAAACTGTTCCAGTAACACCTCCTCTTGCTCATTCATACTGGTCAGCTGTGATATACTGTATTCAAACAGAAACAAAGTCGATTTAAATCTAACAGCAAACAGCACAAATAAAGTAATTAATTTCTACTGAAATTTGAGGCATTTTTTTGGACTGTAGAAATACATGACCTGTTGACCACATCTTATTTTTCCCCTTCTCCRTGGATTGTGGGCATTACTACATGCAGCAGTGAATTTAAAAAGCAGCATGCTAAAAAGCAGCTCCTATTTCAAGCCTTACTTTCCATAATGCTGCCATAGTGGGTTGACCATTAGCTACCAGACACTCACTCAGCTGCTCTCTCAGTCCCCCACAACAGGTTACAGAGAAAAGCCCAAGGGTTGAGATGAAGACAGTGAGGTCACTTACCAATTACAWTCACATGCAAAACACACTCGGAAAAATTAACTGAATTTAGTGTCAATTACAGTATGAGTTGGATAGGGAGCAAGAAAGGCAAAAAGCCTAAACCACTTTGCTCCCTTTTTCCTCAGGCTCAACTTCATAACTTCATTCCTTCATTCCCAGCACTACCTCCCCTGGCCTCCCGCTCCTTGGGCCAAGGGGGAATTGCAAGTGTAGCAGTCAGTCCCTAACAATTAATCTCCGCTGCTCCTTCCTCCTCACACGTTACCCCAACTCCACAGATTGCATTCAGTTCCTGGCAGGAGAGACTACTCCAGTGGAGGTAATCCATAGCTACAGTTTCCTTTAAGGCACATCTGCCTGTTCCAGTATGGGGTCCTTCATGGACTGCTGTGTGGATAACTGCTCCAGGATAGCCCTGCCATAGCTACAGGGTGTATTTTTTAAATACCTGTTCTACTATGGTCTTTCCCAAAACTTCCATGGGCTGCAGAAAAGTAACTGCTCTGCTACTTGGGAGCACCTCCTTCTCCCCCTTCTTTTCTCACCTTTGTGTTTACAGGATTATTGCACTTTTCCATTCCTCTCCTCAATCCTCACTGCCTCTGCTCTTTCTAAAATGTTTTCAGAGGCAGTACCTGCTTCCCTAACAGACTTAGCTGTCCTGCAGGGGGTTTACTGCCAAACCAGCTGTGCCTGCCACAGGGACAGCTCTTGACCCCTTCTCACAATCAAAAAGCCCCCCACCTACCTAAACCTTGCGACCTATACAGAACTATTCAGAGCAGCTGCGATACCATGGTCATTCAACTCAACTACCAACAGAAGAATCATGGAATTTTAATCCAGTCTTCCTGAAAGGATCAGGCTTGATTAGAATGTTTTGTTTAAACAAACAAATTACACTTYCCTACAAAAATCTAAACTTGCTGTTATGTAATAAATATGCTGCTAAAACTTACAGCTAGTCAGCTAAACTAAACAGGCTCTTTGGAAGATGTCAAAGGAAAAGAAAARAACACCCCAAAAGTTCTCCTTCTAAAGGTCTTTCCTTTTTGAAAGGACAGAGTTTTCAATTGCTTAACTATGACACCACCAGMAAGTTGTGAGATCTGAAAAAGTTAATAGCGAATTTGTAACCTACACTATCCACGTAACTGATCTAGGAGGGTGTCTCACTGAATCTGAGCAAGTTGCTGGGAACAGTAATTAATACAATTTGTTTGACTAATGACAAGGTGATGAAAATATTTGTGTACTATATGTATAAAGTATTTAGATGTATGTTSTGTAGAAGTGATTTGCACTGGGACAGTTGGCATATTTACCACCTGGATTTGTCTAACCCAGCCCCCCTGAAAATGCTGATCTGCTCATGTAACAGTTCACCATTTACCTTGCACTACAGTCCTCTGGAGTTTAAGATAATGTAATTTGTGAACCAGCCTCAAGCTGTCTCATTTCCTCCTTCAAAAGTTATTGAATTTCTAGTAATTAAGTCCCTGGCAAGGCCTCAGAAAACAATGAAACACTGCTAGTTAGAAAAAGTAAAAATAAATAYTCTTTTTCCTGGTGTTGAATCAAATACTGCTCCTGCTGACAAAGCCCTAAAGCAGCAGCACATTTGAATACAAGACTGGGTTATTTTCTGACTCRAGTATTTTGGTACGTGGTAGTTCCCCTATTTATAATTTCTACAAAACCCTTTCAGTGATGTGTACTGACTTCTGGCAAAGATCAGACACAGACCAGTAGTAACTGCCTCCTAAAAATTATCAAAAGTTCAGCTACCTTCTGAAAATTTACCTTAGTTCTGAGAGTTCTGGAAAAGTATCAGGAACATCAGGCATCTTGTATGTAAATCCATTCTGGCCAACCTGAACAAAAGTTCAGAAATGCTTAGTAGGTTTCTGAAGAGCAATTTCTTGGTATTTAACTTGATTAATCCAAAACTGAAAATGAGTATTTGCCAGCAACAAGAAAAGCAGGAAAAGCAGTAGCAAACTAGTCTCTAAACAGAAGACAGCTTAACCAATGGTACAAAATGCTTTGAGAGTTTGGGGTGGCACGTCATAAAAGATGAGTCAGTTTTGGAGGAAAATAATTCTGTTTTGCCATGTCCTTCATTTGAAAACAGYTGGATGACTGAGGAAAAACACAGGAACAGTAAAACTCAGGGAAGTGAGAACAGAAAAGGAGACTGACATTTCGATCCCTTTCATGTGGTTTTTAAAGCTATAATCCCTCAGAAAAGAAATGTTTTAGACAAGGAAAAAACAGTTGTCTCCATAGAAGGTAGAAAATTTAAATTCTAAAAAGCCAGAAAAGTGTCTTCCAAGCTTAAGAAAACTTTTGTTTTGATAGACATGATTTGATTAAAGACTAAAAATWTAGATATAAAGTTTTATTGAAAATAGAATTCCTTCTAGAGGTCATCAGAAATATGGAGCTTGAGTATAAACACACAAGGTAAAACTCTACATATAAAGGCTTGAGATTGCACAGTGCCCTCACCTAATAGGTTCTGAGCAGGAAAGAAAGAAAAAAGCCCATTCTCTATGGTTGGAGAAACAGCTACAGCTGCACTAYGGGGCAGTGAGTGCCAAAACAAAAACCCTTATATTCAAAGACAGTTAGCATAACACTAGTTTCATTGAAACTCAAACAAACTTGTTACTCTGACTTCAAGTTCTAAAAAACTTTTCATCAAAGCCAGAATGACAGTTTTGTTTTCCTAACTCCAGCAAAATGTTGAAGTGCAGTCACTGAAGGTGCTTCCTTGAATTTTACAGCAGTGCCCTGTGTGCCCTTGAGGGACCTTATACCCAGTGTCTCACAGCTTAAGAAACAAAACTCAGCACACAGACCTGAAGCACTGCTTCTGCTGTTGGAACAGGCAGTGGCAGATCAGCAATCAAGCCATAAGAGGGAGCAGCAGGCTTGTCTGTGGTGTAGCTTGAAGAAACTGATTCAGAAACAGGCATGGCTGCCATTGTTCTGTTTGTTTCTTGAGGTGGATATGGAGGGAGAAATGGAAACCCCTGAGGAGCAAAAGGAGGCATTCCAGCTGGTTTGTTGAAAAGGCTAAAAAAAAGCAAAACCACAACCATGAGCAACCAACTGCTTACAGCATATTTCTTGTAATTTGAATTATATTTACCAAACCACATATAAGACATAAGAATGAATTTTCAAATGGCCATAAATTTTGTATTTTCCGTTCTCAGTTACTTCCATCCTAAAGTTGTGAGAAAACCATCTATATCATACATTAGCTCTTATTTATGGTATAGCATTTAACAGCTTGGGCAACACACACATAATTACTTCTAAACAGCATGAACGACTTTTTTAAAATTCACAACTGCAGCTGTGTCTAAACTTAGTATCATTGTCAGCCACGAGAACCAGTTATACTGATACAAGTTGAATGTCTCAGTCCACTTTCGCGTATTTAACACAATTCTTTAAATCACACAATTTCTGCTGCACATGGTGCAACAGAAACTGCCCTAAGCCTGGGAGATTATGAACAGAATATGAGAAACCATAACTGCTCAGATCATGAACTATAGCAAATTCCAGATTTCATCTGATGAAGTGAAAATTTCTTTTTCAAGAAAACAGATATAAAGTTACATCAGGCATRTTGATACTGTAACTCCAATGAAAACTAGTTTCTCTTCTCAAAACAATCAGGTCCTCAAGCATGCACATGAAATTCTGCAAGGACAGGGAGTCTAATTCTTCCAGTATATCCATTACATTACTGCTGTCCCTACCCTCCTTATAATTGGTTTAGTCTCTTCTTTAAAAATTAATATACATTACTTCAATTTATTTATTTATTACTATTCAATTATAGTTCACAGATAACTTACTATGGAAACGATGTTGAACTGGGAGCCAGAACTGGAGGATTCTTCCAAAACTCATCCAGTAAACTTTGAATAATTTTTCCAAGATCTGAATGCATTGTAAACTGGTAAAAACACAAAAACAAAACCCAATGAAGAAGAAAAATCATGTCTGGAATTCAACAGTTCCAAAATGTGCTGAACTTGGTTGTTTATTATATCCACATGACAGTGCTGAAAGTATTTCAGACATACCAGCTAAGGCAAACTGTGTATACAAAAGCTCCGAATAAAGTGATAAAGACACTCAGAATTGAACAGAAACTAAATGTATTTTGTAGATTCCATTATCAACAGGGAGTCAATGAAGTACCCCATTTCTGTTGAACAACCAAAAACCCCTACTTTATTACAAAGTTACATTTGTGAAACCAACAGAAGAGAGGGGAAAAAAATCAAAATATCTGAGGACAAAGGCATTAACTGCATTCTGGAAGAGTCAGAACCTCCCTCCATTCAAAAAAAAATAGCACACTCTTGTTGACAAAAAGAAAAGCATATTAAAATCCTGAATATTCAAGCTAAAACCTTGATGCCATTTTAATAGGATTAGGCTAGAAAGAACTACGTTACAAAACCATCTTAAAGCATCTCTCTCCTTTATTTGGAATACACTGCAATGTAGTTGGAAGAACTGCACAATTAATAATAACTAAAATATGTGATAGCAACTTTTTAAGCTTTCATAACTTAAAATAGTTTTAGATATATGAAATACTCAAGTACTGGTAACAGTAGAAGAATAACTAGAAGTACACTGAACACTTCTAAATTTTTGTTTTCAGGCCCCCAAAATACACTTTGAAAGAGATTAGGATTTACACTAATCTTTTTTACCAGGAGTATAAACAATAGTCTAGTGTGACATGTATTAAAATTCTTATTAACAATAGATCTGTATGAAGCTGCAAATTATACATACATTACTTATTAATGGACCAGTCACATATACTCCCTGCTTGTCCATTAAATGGTGTCTCACAGGTGGGAAAACACTGATGACTGGTTTTTCCTGAGGAAATTGAGGTGGAAGCAAACTGCAAATACAAGAATAATCATTACTACAGGGACATACCATGATAAAGTTTGCATAAGAAAGCTTCTTATGCAAATAATAAGTATTACTAATTATATAAACTTACTTTTCTATGATTACAGCTATAGGGAAGTACACAATGAATGAAGCAACAAAAGGATTATTCAGTTACAAAATCAGAAGTCCAAAAGCCTGGAATACTAGACTTCCACAAAACTGAAGAGAACATTCACTGGGCAAAATTATAGTATAACAAAGGAGCAATTACCACAGAATATTATGAGTTGGAAGAGACCCACAAGGATCACTGAGTCCAGCTAATAAGTGAATGGCCCATACGGGCACCAAACCCATGACCTTGGCGCTATTAACACTATGCTCTGATCAACTGATGGACAACAAAGAAGCTGTAGCATAACAAGAGCATTTTTTAATTCAAAAGTTATTACTCCAAATACAATACAGTGCAACCTGTAAAAATATCAGGCCAACTCAGCACGCCAAAGTAATAAAAAACTTGTGAACAGAATACTATCACTATCTGCCAAAGCAAAAGCATCCCCCCAAAGTAAATTCACAAGAAATATGACAATGAATCACTTCAGTTATGATCCAGAGGCTTCACCAGGGCAAGAGTTTGGAGCTACAGCAGACTAGTAAATTACMAATCAAGTTTATTTTCAGTAGTAGGGAATCAAAGTTAACAGAAACCCTCAAGCATTTTCCCCTAGTTATCTTCAACTAAAAYCACACAGATATTTTAGGAACTGAGCACAGCAAAATATGATTTTGCTCTCCGCTGAACATCTGCACCTGTTTCACTCAGAACCAGTTTCACTCAGATCACTGTAACCACTAACACAAATCCAGGCTATAGTTCCTGAAATTTATTATGAGCTGGTAGCCACTACTACTATTCTATTACTACCTTTTCTTTTTTTAAGAACAATTTTGATTTTCAAGATGTGCATAGACACAGTTCACTCTACTTACATGTTAATATTAATTGTCAAGTTGTTTACAGTGAATGGCAGTCGATATTCCACATCTTTCTGGATTTCTGCAATGCTGTYAAAGAAGAAATTGTTAGCATACATTTATGGTCAATATAACAGCTAAAAATCTAAAAGAAATAAGCATGACCTCAGACATTTGTATTCAGTTTAGTTTTGAAAAGCCATGCAAGAACAGAATTGAAAATACTGGAATAAGTTAATAGTTTTCAGCATTCTATATTTAATATTAAGACTAAAGCAAAAAACCTGTAGATTCAACTTTTAAACTGCATACATCGTCACAAGCAAAGGAACTACAGTAGGAGAAATCACACTACTCACTCTTCTGACAACAATCTCAACTTATCTTCCTTCCCTTACCGGCTTAATTTAAGACAACACATCAGCATTTTTTTAATATACTGAATTTTATCTAATCAAACATTTACTTTGCCAAGGCTTATACCAGATTCACAACTAAGTRTTGCTCTGCAATACTGCCTTCAGATCAATATGCACAAAATTTATTAGACCAGGCATTCTTCCTTAATAGACTACCCTAGTATTTAACAGTAGCTTTTTACTATGTGCACCAAACTCAATGCACTTGCACAAGTGCTTTCAAGAATTAKCTGGTGGAAAGCTACTTGCAAGAATGTAAAGCTCCAATGACACACAAGACAGGCTCCCCCCGAAAGCACCGGTGTACCTTATGAAATCTGGTAAGGCTAAATCCAAATTTGTTTTTCCTAAACAGGCAAATAACTGAGAAAAATCTTGAAACAAGCTGCATCAATAGGAGTTTGATTTCAATACCCAAAGCATTCTACAATTTCTAGGCACTGCAAGACTGTTTTGAAAGATACCATCCCAAAGAATGTGGAGGAGGTAGAGACAAAGACTTAGATCAGAAGCAGAATTTCTAAACAATTTGAACATGGCTAAGCTGACAGAAGAAAGAGAGACAGAAGGGTAGAAAATTAGCTTCATCTTATAATGCCTGAATCAAAACAAACTGTAAAAACAGAGTGACTGTTCTTCTATTTTTCCTGCTTGCACCTGGTTAATAGTATTCTTCTCCATCACCTAAGGTCCCTTATACAGGGGAGGAAAACACAATTCCAAAGGAAAATAATGGCAGGTGGGTGTTCCCAGAAAGCACCTTTGATCCTTCAGAAATGCCCCTCCATCCACTGTCAGGCACATTCCATACAAATCCTTTCTCAAAAAAAAAATCAAAACACATTACCTGCAAATGTGTGTTAAGAGTAGTGCTGGGAGTGTTTTGTGTCCTTCCAAAGCATTATTGGGGCATAGAATTTAAGACTCCAGCTTTCAGAGCTAGGGGAACAAATGGAGTAAAACTCTTTAACTTGGCTATGAATCTTGCTTTCTGCAGCCCAATCTTATTCCTCTCATACACAAACTCAGTATCTGCTCTTTCCCTGTGAAATCACAGGCTGTTTGAAGAAAATATCAAATGTCTTCAGCACAGGAGAATTCAAATCAAGGGCTCTACTGTTTTAGACCACATGCCAATACCTGTACCTTCTCATTCTTAACTGAAGGATTCTCTCTATAATCTCTCACACACATTCCTGCCCTGTAATCATCTGTCAGACTTTTTAATAGCCTGCTGCAAAATCCTTTTGAGAAGGGTATATAATTATGCTCTACTCACATGCACAACCTATGGAAACTGGGTAGGAAGATGACGATAGGAAGTGAAGAACAAAAAAGCCAGAATCTCACTGAACTGTTCAAATGGTTATAACCCTGCTTAGGAAAAACCTTGAACTAATGATCTTAGCTGCCCCTTCTCCAAGTAGGAATGGGTACACTGGAAAAATAATACATTCTTAACTTTGTCTATCACAACAGCAAATGTAAGAAAACTCTTTTTAAAATGCCAAGATTTAATTTCAACCTCCTAACTTGTGAAAGACTGTGTAATTGAAAGCTAGCTGCTTTACTAAAATTCAGATCACACATACCTGAGCTTTATGATCTAAGACAACACAAACCAAACTTGACTAACTTAGTTAACTGGTTAATAGTTAGAATTTTGAGCATTTGGGTGAGGAGCRACAAGGATACTCATAAATGAATGACATTTGGGCAGCTATAATGTCCCTACCCCTCGCCTCAGTTCCTGGCTGCAGGGTCCATTCCTTCTCTGCCTGTGCTTGAGCTGGTGCCTGCACAAACAGCAGCAAACCAGTTCAGCAGGCTGACTGGTAAAATTKATCACCTTTTTGGGTATTTAATTCAGGATGAGCTCATCTCCCTGCCAGATTAAAAAAAGGGGTATAAATAAAAGGCCAAGTAAGGCCAGCCCAACAAAAACTTCTAAGTTAACTAAGCTCCTCCATGCCCACAGAAACAACTCCTTAGAATAGTGAATTGTCTCAAAAATATTTGTAAAATTGCCTCTTGRCTTAAGTTTATGCAAGCAACTGTCATAATAATAATTTATAATAATGTCATAATAATTCTAAGCAACTTAGAATACTGTCATATTTATGCTTCCTGTGTGATAATTCAAAATATTAGGAAGGTRAACTATCTGCAGTTATTAAACTTGGAAATGCAGTAAGTATGTCTTCCACTCTAAGTGTCAGTCTGATGTGACAGGAAGCAGTCTTCTTTCTTTTTCTAGATTATTTTGGAGGCATCTATCATTCCAATTCTACAGAAATCCTAGGAAGCTGTACCTCTGTAGAACAGAACTTTGAATGTATGAATTTTGAATCTCCTTTTAAAATGTGAAGAGATTTAAAAGACTAGACAAAACAGAGCAGCATACTGCCAAGAGGGAGTTACTCGGGATAGTGTTTTGATTTAAAAATTATAGACGGTGAACAGGAATAAAAACAACTGGCCTCTTCAGACCATCTTAACAAAACCAGTCCTTAAGGAGAGAAATTAGTTTGTAAAGCCAGTAGGACTGCTATGCCACTGCTGACAGGCCACCGTGACACACAACTCCTTGGTGCTTTTTCAGTCTCAACTCATAATGAATTACACTATTACAAGCAGCTTCCAAAGACGTTTTATCCCAACACGTAGCCGCCTCTCTTTGTAGACATTACAACCTATTAGCAGGCTTTCCAGTCAATGGCCGGGGAAACCGGGCCACGGCGACCCGCGCCCTGGAGACCGGGCCAGGCCACACCAAAGCCAGCGGGGACGCCTCCCCGACAGCCAGTYTGACTTTCAGTTTCCAAATTCCCCTTCCCGGATCGCCGCGGGCTCACATAGCACTGCCCTCGGGCGGAGACCCCGCGGGACCGCACTCCCGCCCSGCGGGACCCTTCGCCCCGCGGACAGAGCCGGGACTGGGCCGGGCCGGGCTGCAGCGCCGTCGACTCGGGTGCCCTGTTTACCCRCACGGCCGCGGGGACCGGGACCCAGCCAGGCCTCGCCGAGAGCGGAGACGGGGCGCAGCCGGGCCCCCGTGCGCATGGGGACACACGACACCCTCCCGACAYAGCGTGGCCCCACTGCGGCCCCGGGACGTGCGGTACTGCGGCCCCGCAGCCCTCCCGTTCTCGCCCCCGCCCCGCCGCGGCCACTTACGAGGCGTGCGCGGCGCGCAGGGACTCGACCTGGCGCTGCCGCTGCTGCTGGAGGCCGGTGCGCGCGGGCGGCGCGGCGGAGGCGGGGGCGGCACCGCCCTTGGACAGCGGGAACAGCCAGTTCATCGCGCGCGCGGCGGCACCGGAGGGGCGCGAGGGCACCCGCGGCACCGCGCGCACCTGACCGAGC